AAGATCTGGCGGCCGCCAGATAACTTATCTGGCGGCCGCCAGAAATTATATGGCAGCCGCCAGATAACTTTCTGGCGGCCGCCAGATAAGTTATATGGCGGCCGCCAGAAAGTTATTTGGCGGCCGCCAGAAAGTTATCTGGCGGCCGCCAGATAATTTCTGGCGGCCGCCAGATAACTTTTTGGCGGCCGCCAGATAACTTATCTGGCGGCCGCCAGAAAATTATTTGGCGGCCGCCAGATAACTTTCTGGCGGCTGCCAGATAAGTTTCTGGCGGCCGCCAGATAATTATTTGGCGGCCGCCAGAAACTTATCTGGCGGCCGCCAGATAAAATATTTTTCTACCTGGCACATACCGGCTTCCGTAACATTTAGATAATGAAATGAACGTAAAATTGAGACTTCTGTTTTACATTGACTGTTTTTCTCTAATGAAGATAGCTCAAGTCCTCTGTAATCTCGTCAATGATAATGCTTTATAAAGAAAGCTATGTACCAGGTCATACATGTACAACTATAATTAGTTACCGCCACACCAAAAGTATATAAATAACCAAAAATCAGTCCCTAAAATATACCAATCAGTCCCTACACAACATAAATTACTGACATTTAATCCCTACGCAAAACAAGAATTCCCCACAGAACACATTTATTCCAACATTGTCACTCCCGTTGTCCTACAACAGAAGTAATCAGAATTCTTTGACGAGACTGTAGCTCTACTGCATGTTTTTTTTTTTTTTTATTTTTTTTTTTTTTTTATTTTTTTTTTTTTTTACTAAACAAGAGTAGATAACGGTAGCATTTGGACTTGAAACTACGGCAATAGCAATAAATAAACAATGGCCCTTGGTTTAGTCTCTTTCCGAGTCAAGTTTAATCCAAATGCAATTGAACAAAAACTGTAGTAGGAGTAACATTTTGAGAGAATTTCACAGAAAAGTTCATAATTATTTTTAGTAAACTTGACAACACTTCAACAAAATCAAAAACCGATATACAGAATTACGTATCTTAAGGTATTCCATCCCTAATAGCCTCAGATTCAATGAATTTGAAAACATAACAGATGATGGGTGGAATACTCAGTATATTTAGACATAATTCCCATTTATTACTATTAGCATGTAAGAATGGAACGTGTCCTAATTTATGACCTTGACATTTTTTGAAGAGTTATCTCCCTCTTTTTTTAAGTAATAAAAATCAATTTTTAAAATTCTATACGGTAAAAAAAATTGTTTTCAATTGTCATTCTATTTCTTATGATTTAATGCATCTTTCCACCACAGTATTTATTGATATTCTTATTATTTGAATTTCTATTTTTAAAAAATCGCTTGTCTCCACAGACTTCAATGCAATTTCTGTTAATTAATTACTGCTTAGTTAATTACGTTTTTGAAACTTTCACTTGGTAAATCCTTTTCTACTGTAAAGTTCTTTGAATTAATATCAGAGTATTATATACGTGATGGATATTTAAGGATAGAGAATTAGGTCCTGTTAGGGATGGAAAACCTCAATGTAGTCTACTTGTGTACCAAGTTATATTGAAATCGGACTGAAACTGTAGGAGGAGTAGCGTTTTTGAAGAATTCCAAAGAAATTTTTTTTTAGTAACCGTGGCAAAATCGTTCATCAAAATAAAAAACTGATATACAGAATTAAGTATCTTAGTGTGGTCTACTTGTGTACCAAATTATATTATTGAAATCGGACCAAAACTGTAGGAGGAGTAGAATTACGAAAAGTTGTTTACAGACAGACAGATGGACGGACGACGGTCACCTTGACCAGTAAAGCTAACAAGTTCCTATATATACCACACCAATCAGTAACTACAATACAAGTCAATTCCTACAACTCACATCTCAGTTCCTACAACTCGCCAATCATTTCCCACATCACACTAATCAGTTCCTGCAACATACCAATCAGTTCTCACCAATCAGTCCCTACAACCACCAATCAGTTCCTACAACACATCAATCAGTCCCTACAACACACCAATCAGTACCTACAAAACACCAATCAGTTCCTACAACAAACCAATTAGTCCCTGCAACACACCAAACAGTACCTACAACAAACCAATCATTCACTACAACACACCAATCAGTCCCTACAACATACTAATAAGTTTCTATGACACAAATAGGTCCCAACAATAGATTTATCACTTCCTACAAGAAATAGTAAAACATCAATCAGTCCCAACAACACACCAATCAGTTCCTATAACCCACCAATCAGTTCCTATAACACACTAATCAGTTTCTACGACACACCAATCAGTCCCTACAGGCACACCTACAACCTACAACATATCAGTCAGTTCCTATGACACACCAATCGGTTCCAACAACACATTTATCAGTTGAGAATTAATCCCTGCAAAACACATCTTTCCTAAAGACATATTTATTTTAACACTCCTATTCCTACAACATCAGTAACAAGTTCCTAAAACAAAACAATAAGTCCCTAAAACACACCAATCAGTTCCTACAACACACTTTCCAGTCCCTACAACACACCAATCAGTTCCTACAACACACTTTCCAGTCCCTACAATACACCAATCAGTTCCTACAACACACCAATCAGTCCCTACAACACACCAATCAGTTTCTACAACACACCAATCAGTCCCTACAACACACCAATCAGTTCCTACAACACACCAATCAGTTCCTTCAACACACCAATCAGTTCCTAAAACACACTTTCCAGTCCCTACAACACACCAATCAGTTCCTTCGACACACTAATCAGTTCCTACAACAAACTAATCAGTTCCTACAACACACCAATCAGTTTCTTCAACCAATCGGTTCCTAAAATATGCAAATTTGACAATAAATCCATTCAAAACACAAACTTTCTACAGAACACATTTATTTCAACACCTTTATTCTTAAAGGATCATAACAAATTCCAATATCAGACCAATCAGCCCTTACAATATGTACAATAATCAGTTCCTACTACACGCTTATCAGTTCCTATGCAAAACACAATTTAGGTCCTTCAACACACAATTCAGTTCCTACAACACACAATTCAGTTCCTACGACACACCAATAAGTTCCTACAACACACTAATCAGTCCCCCCCCCCCCCCATAACACTAAACAGTTCCTATGCAATACACATTTCAGTTCCTACATTATACCAAACAACCCCTTCAATACACTAATCAGTCCCTACAGCATACCAATCGGTTCCTACAGTACATCAATTGATTCCTACAACATACCAAGCAGTTCCTATGACACACCAATCAGTTCCAACAACACATTAATCAGTTACTACAACACACCAGTCAATAACAAATAACAATCAGCCCCTACAACATGAGACAATTCTTAGAACATGCAGTAAATGATTTGAAACATCATTAGTCCCAAATATAGGCCAGTTTCCAAACCATAGCAATCGGTTCTCACATCACCAACCAGTTGCTACAACCCATCAACCAGGCCCTACAACACACCAAAGTATATAGGTATGCCAACAACATCAAACAGTTCCTTTAATACATCTCTACAAAACTCAATCAGTTCCTAAAATACCTGTCTGTTCTTTCCATTTTTAAAACAGTCAAAGCCCATGGCAACACCAAGCAGTTCCTTCAACATATCTCTAGACTACAATACATCTATCAGTTCCTACAACACATCTCTACAAAACATCTATCAGTTCCTACAACACACCTCTACAAAACATCTATCAGTTCCTACAACACATCCAAACATCCCTACAACATCAATCATTTCCTTCTACATACAAATCAATTCCTACAATACAAACTATAAATTATCCTGAAAAAAATTTACTAGACTGCAGTTACTTTACTATTACACATGTAGTACATACTTTAATGCAGAGTACTTTCACTTTTAAATTAATTAACTTTGATTTACAAGCCAGTCCCTAAAGGACTAGTGACATAAATCCTGAATCATCAGACTTCAGACTTTACATGTATCAACCCAGTATATTATACAATCCTTGTAAGGATGCTGCATAATGTTGTAATTCCTTGCCTAATTTTAAACTAATGCTGGAAGTACACTACACATTTAATGAAGTCAATTGAAAATTGCTTATTCTTTAATCTTATGCCCTGTTCACACGTAGAGTTTAATTCACAGTAAATTAATGCGAAGTAAAATAATGCGAATTAAACTAATGCGAATTAAATTGTGTTCACACGACAGCTAATGCAAATTAAACTAATGCAAATTAAATTTTTATTTCTATAATAAGGCTATTCAGTAATTCTATTATGATGTCATTTGTGAATCACGTCACATTGTTCCTAGCAGATACATTTGACCACTGATTTGACATAATGTCATAGTTTCTGTACACATTTTAGTGATTAACATAGTTTTCCTTTGTTTTCCACTCTAAAATAGCACAAGTACCTATATCTGACCACCAACATGTGGCCTGTGACTTAATTCTGCTTTTACGCATGCGTCAAAATTTAATTCAAATTAGCTTCGCTTAGCGTTCACACGGAGCTAATACGAAGTAATTTAATGCGCAGTAAATTAATTCAAAATAAACTAATTCGCATTAAATTCTCCGTGTGAACGTGGTTTAAATTTAATTCGCAGTAACTTACATTTAATTCAAATTAAACTCTCCGTGTGAACAGGGCATTACACTGTATGATCAGAAATGGTTCGCAACAAAAATTTATCAACAAAATTCATAATAATATTAAATTCTAAAAAATCTTTATTCAAAATTTTTAACATATCACCTTTACTAAATGAAAGAAATATATGAACAATTTTCCCCATACAATAAACAACTTTGCAAGTATATTTATCTATCTATTCAATTTTGCGTGTTTACAAGTTATCCAAATATAGTCCAGAATGCACATAAGACATCCACAATGTGTGTTCACATGTACATAGTCGAACAAATATGGTGCACCGGGCATGTCATTAAGGAATTATTTTACATATAATTAGATATAAAATATTCTTTAATTATGCACTGTCAGGATATTGTCAAGTTCATTCAGAGCAAAAGTTCATTTGTACAGTGTTGCAATTTTTCTGACATTACTCAAAATGGATTACTATAAATTTGCTACACCATTTAACTTTTCCCAAAAGCAAATTATATCACTCTTAATCTTTGACAATTTACTAGTTTACTTTCTTTGTAAAAAAAGAAGTTTCTTTATATATTCATTGCAAAATTTCTACAAAAACATTTTTTTTTCTCAGTACACCTTGTACACAGTTTTCTTTTGCTGTTGTTGTTTTTTTCCCTTTTTTGCATCACTTAATTTGGCAGACTTATTCTTCTTTCAGTATATCTGGAGAAAGAAGGTCAAAAGTTGCTTTGAATTCCTTAAATTCATGCAGCTCAGTAGCAATCACTTCAACTTCTGTATCCTTGATGAAGATTTCTTCCTCAATATCAATGGAAGTACCTTTGTCAACTTTGGGTAGTTTAATCTGCAGTGCTCCAACCTGGGACACTCCCTTTTCATCTATAAATTTTGGATCTGCTTTATGGGACAGGTAAATGCTGCACTGAAGGATATCTTCATCTGGCTTAATGACCTCTAAGATATAGCATTTCCGATGACCTGGCTTGATTTTATCTCCCCTTGTGACAAATTTCATGAAAACATCACGACACCTGTCTTGATTTCCAACTTTTATCTTTTTCTCCTCTGGATGCTTTGATGGATCAAAGTCGGGCCAGTTTTGGACCCCATAGGAATAATTTGAAATATGAGTGGTTACTGCATCAGGTACATGACCCATATACACAGCGCCTTTCAGTACTGCTAGACTGGGCTCTTCTGGTAATATTAGATGTTTGTCTTTCATCTCTTTCTTGATCATCTCTTGAATGATGTAGCATTCAGAAAAACCACCAACCAACAGAACTGTTTCAACATCAGCCAACTCAGGCTTTTTCAATAACCCATCCAAGTGACTTTTAATGTTATCACAGGTTTCCTTGAATAGATTTTCAAACTCTGAATATGGGACCTTGCATTTCAAAGTTTTCTTGTCAAAAGAAATAATGTCTTTGTATTTTGATGATTCAATAGCTTTGGCCATTCCATCCTTTTCATCAAGGATTTCAGAAAGTGACAGTGGAATTCTGATGTATATACTATCAGATGTTGCTGTTGGTCCAGATCGCTTTTGGACTTCAAATTTTCTGAATAAATCTAAATAATCCTCCATGCATTCTTCTTTAAATTGGTCCATGCTTTCTTTCCCAAAGAGATCACAGAAAAATTGAAGGTATGCATCATCCACCTTAGTTCCACCCCAACTTATTCCACTTGGCACAATGACCTGCTTCAAGCCTCCATCTGGAGCTCTCTCATGAACAGAGATATCCGCAGTACCACCTTAAAATTCAAAAATAAAAAGAAATTAAAAATACAGATATTCTCTTATACCTACAAAAGGAAATATGACTCTGTAACCATAGTTTATTAATTCTGATGCTGATGCATCGGTTGACAATGGTTTTCATAGGGGTGTCAATTTCAATTATTATACCTCTACTGATTTTTCACTATACATATGAGTAAATTGACATATTTCGCTGATTCCCTGAAAATCACCGTAAAAGGACTGATTCCCTGCAAAATGGTGTGACAGTCTGATGAACTGATACACACCTATTCGGAACACTGAGCAATTTCTTTTAGTCATATGAAAAGTTCCAATGAGTTCCAAATAAACTCATAAATATTCATAATGCAGCTATGTTAATAATTCTTCAAATAAGGAGGCGGGGCCTAATTCATACGGGAAATGTTATGCCACTTGTATTGTGACATCAACATAGTAAACTGATGTGCACCGAGAGCTAGACAAATCACGTAACTTTGTAAACTCTTCTAACTGTAATGTTACCTTCATGTAATTTTACAAAGTAGTTCAGACAATGTACTAAATTATTTAATGATAAAATTTCTTTAATGACTGTTATAAATTCTGTTGTGTTGTTAAGATTTTTTTTTTATCCCTGTTACAAAGTTGAATACCTGAATTAAAATTAAACATTAATTGTTACAGTATTGATTTAAACTTTTTTTTTTCAAATTTCTTGTTTGTATCTCTATAATAAAACAGTTAAAGTATATCACTGAGGGAGTCAGCAAGATTCCAGGACCCCTCGAGCAAGCGTATTTCCCTTGGCACAAGCACCTCGGGAAATAGACTTGCTCTTGGGGAACTGGAATCTTTCTGACTCCCTCAATGATATACTTTAACTGTATACTGTTACCCTCAAAAATATGCACAATTTATATAATGTATGTAGTATCCCATATTTATTTCACTCAAATATTGTAAATCACATTTTATTTGTGAGAATGTGTAATTTTGGGTTGAGATATTTTTTCATATTAAATGACTTATTTCCAGAATAGTAGTTCTGGACTATAAATTGGCAACTGTGAATCATTTTAGGAATTTTTATGAAAAAATTTCCTCAAGCCTACTATACTTCTACAGACACAATATTTTTTGTTATTCTATTGATTTATAAAATTACAAATACTACATAGAGGCTTATAATGAATGTGAGGCGGAGACATTTAACTGGGCTCTGGTATACAATGATTATATTATACAAGATTTATCAAATAAAATAAAAGTATAAAATCTTGAACATTTACCTCCGAGATCTATCACCATGTACTTAAAGCCTGCTGTCAGTTTATCCTTAAACCCAGCTTTCTCTGGGGCTTTGTCTCCTTCCAGGTGCATGTATTGACAATAAATGGAGGCGGCCTCGGATTCCAGGGCAATCTTCAGTTGTTCCTTCTCTATCCCTGTCTGTTATGAATAAAGAATTAAACAAAATGCATTTCAAATGTGATATTTTATTCTTGCCCTTAATATACCGACTGAGAAACCAAGGATTTTATCAAAACACAATATAAAGCTGTCATTGATGAAACAACTGATTCATAAAAAGTATCGATATACTGATTACCGGTAACTTATAACAAGGTATTTTGTTGTTGTCGTTTTTTCACTTAAGACCTAGATAAATAAATTGTGTGTTTCCGGTTCCCCGACCTACCCTAAAATATATGAGCTGACCCTAAAAAATTTATCTGCAGATATCCTTCCCAGGAGTAAACTATTCCAGTTTCACTATTAGAAATCCTAATCTCCATCACTTCCGTGTTTCAGAAAATGCATATCCTATACACATAAATCAGAAATGTTTTGACAGCGATTTCCCCTGGGAAAAATGGTAGTGTACTTGCCAATAAAATATTAAAATAAAATAAAATGTTTTCCCTACCTACCTACCTTATTTTTTCTCAGGTTGGAATAGGAAACACATTATTTATTTATCTTGGCCTAAATTTACTGAAAATACGTAGAGCAAAAATTTCACAAGAAGCAGATTTTATTTTCAATAACATTAACAATAAATTAAAAGATGTAATAACAAAAATATATATACGAGGGGTGATCAAAAAGTTTGCAAACTAATTGAATTACTTCCTTAAAAGAAATAAAATGAGGTTTCAGTGCTCATTATTTTTTAAAGTAGTCCTCTCCGATTTAAATGCACATCAGCCATTGTTCTGCCCATGCATGCATCACGTGATCCAGGTGGTCATGTGACATGCTCCGTAGCGGTCTGTTCACAGAATCTAAGAGATTTTTCCGAGTCTTATATTTCTTACCATGCAAGTTATTTTTTATAACAAGAGGCCCAAGGGCCTTAACAGTCATCTGAGTACAATACAACAATTTAGAGGATCCATAAACTGATAAATGAAGCTTTGTTGCCCAAAAGCAAGAAAAATAGTATGATTACCATCAACAATAATTGGTCTCTGTCCCCAATTTATCACTATTACCATGCAGACTATTAACAAAATGTCTATTTTTTAACACCATATTATTACTTCTCACATTGGCCTCTCTTGGCCTTTGAAGAACATTTAAAAAGATATGTTATTTTTGTCTCATTTTTATTCATCTATTATTTCCAAGTCTACCTGATCATTAAACTATGAAAGTACTTTTTGTATTATACAATAAATATTCTTGCATAATTCTTGTATACTATTGACCTTTCAAGTACATTGTTTACAGTGATTAATTATCAAAGGTGAATGGCAAAGGGGAATAACTTTGCTCAGCAAAATACAAGATAATAGAGCCCTGGCCAGGTCCAGAACACTTAACTAAATGGTCCATGTGTTCAAAATTCTGGTAAAAATACCTTTGCATATTAAACATTTTACTCTGTTTGCCTTGAATATGCCCAGAAGCATAGAAGATTTTCAAAGAAATGCATTTTCACTATATTATTAAATAAATAAACCCTACCCTTACACCAGAACATCTGACCCAGGGGCCATGAACTCACAATTGTGGAAGAAGCACCCTTGCTCATCATAACTATACACTTGTTTCTTTGCTTTATAACCAGTAGTAGAAAAAATATTTTGAAAGAAATTATACATTTTCACTGTATAATCAATAAAGTCACACCCCCCTCCCCTCTTCATCAGAACCACTCACCCACAGGCCATGAATTTTACAATTTTGGAAGAGGCATTCTTCCTTATCATAACCATGCACTTCCTTTATTTGAATAATACCCAGGAGCAGAGAAGAAGATTTTCAAAGAATTTATGTATTTTCACTATATAATCAATAGAGCCCTGCCCCAACACCAGAACCCCTGACCCAGGGGCCATGAAATTCACAATTTTGGAAGAGACACTCTTGCTCATCATAACTATGTACTTAGTTTATTTAATACCCAGGAGCAGAGAAGAAGATTTTCAAAGAATTAATGAATTTTCACTATATAATCAATAGAGCCCCGTCCTAACACCTGAACCCCTGACCCAGGGGCCATAAAATTCTAAATTTCTGAAAAGGCAGTCATGCTTATCATAACTATGCTCTTAGTTAGTTTATTTAATACCCAGGAGCAGAGAAGAAGATTTTCAAAGAATTAATGCATTTTCACTATATAATCAATAGAGCCCCGCCCTAACACCAGAACCCCTGACCCAGGGGCCATGAAATTCACAAATTTGGAAGAGGCATTCTTGCTCATCATAACTATGTACTTAGTTACTTTATTTAATACCCAGGAGCAGAGAAGAAGGTTTTCAAAGAATTAATGCATATCACTATATAATCAATAGAGCCCTGCCCTAACACCAGAACCCCTGACCCAGGGGCCATGAAATTCACAATTTTGGAAGAGGCATTCTTGCTCATCATAACTATGTACTTAGTTACTTTATTTAATACCCAGGAGCAGAGAAGAAGATTTTCAAAGAATTAATGCATTTTCACTATACATTCAATAGAGCCCCGCCCTAACACCAGAACCCCTGACCCAGGGGCCATGAAATTCACAATTTTGGAAGAGGCACTCTTGCTCATCATAACTATGTACTTAGTTACTTTATTTAATACCCAGGAGCAGATAAGAAAATTTTCAAAGGAATAATGCATTTTCACTATATGATCTATAAAGCTCCACCCTAGCACCAGAACCCCTGACCCAGGGGTCATGAATTTCACAATTTTGGTAGAGGGCTCAATGCTTATTACAATCATGCCAACAGTTTAACTGCTTGATGTCCAGGAGTAAAGAAGAAGATTTTTAAAGATTGCATTAATTTTGGTTGTTTTAGCCCCACCCCTCAGGCCCCAGGGGGGCAGGGACCATGAAATTCACAATTTTTGTTCCCCGTCACCCATAGATGCTATATGCCAAATTTGGTTGAAATTGGTTCAGTGGTTTCAGAAAAGAAGCTAAAAATGTTCAAATGTTAACGCATGACGCACGCCGACGGACGAAAACGGATAGCAATAGGTCACCTGAGTCACTCAGGTGACCTAACAAGAACAGACCATCTGTCAGAAATGGCCAAATCTCGGCAATAGGATGGGTGGATAAGGATATCCCTTCCCAGAATTAGCATGGTGACCATCACAACCCGGGCCATCATTAAAAATATCTTCGTTTCCCCTAACCCGACCCTAGAATCTGAAGTTGAGTAGGTAGATAGGTAAATATTTTTTTTTTCTGACAGCAGCTTTGAAAATACATTCTGAATTTCTGATAAGAACGGGTTTTGATGAAATTGTATTTTATAAAAGTTGATAAACATTAAAAAAAAAATTGAGTAATCTTCTTAAAAAAAAACTTTTCAGTTGGTGGGATTTACTTGGGTCGGTCGCGTTAGGGGAAACAAAGGTATTTTTTATTTTGGCCCCGAGTCCTCTGTTTTGGGAGCGTCGTTTATCCAATGTGGAAAAAGTATGGGCGCCTTCTTTTTTTCATATCTCATATGTTTAATATCAAAAGTAAACGATATTTTTTAGGGATTTAATAATTATATTATTGTTCCGATATTCAACTATTTTTCTTTTTTTTTTTTTTTTTTTATTTACATTGTCCATTGTATACATACATATATGCATATAAATGTCTACAAAAACAGTATACAAAGGATTTTTTGCACCACACACACACACATTCATACAGTCACTCACACTCATTGGATTAAGCGGAAATATGCTGAAGAAATATGAAGGCTGCTTTAAGAGGACAGTATTTAAAGTATTAAGCAACCTCCAAGCAGAAAATCCGATATAATCAGCACTTTCATACACAATCATACTTTCGCACACACCTGTAAATAATGACAAAAGAGGCGAATGGTTTTGCGTCAAAAATAGAATGGATGTATATACAAAGAGAAAAAAGGACATGGCAAAAAAGATCCCCAGTGAAATATCTAAAGACCAAAGAGAGCTTTCTTATTTTGTAATAAATGGAGTCTCTCTATATTTACATACACGTACCTTTTATTTTTAGCCCATGTCGAAAGTTTGTTACCGGAAATGTGTATTGGCTGCATAAACCTCAAATCAAAAAACCGGAAACGATTAACTAAGTAAATATCCGGAAAAAAAAACACATTTTTATGTTCATGCCTAAAATTACAAGGCATGTCCAATGTTCAAAAAACAAGAGGCCCAAGGGCCTTAACGGTCACCTGAGTATAATACAACAATTTAGAAGTTAAATACACTGATAGATGAAGCATTGTTGCCCTAGCCCCCCCCCCCCCCCTTCCTCAAGAACCCCAAAAACTGAGGCCATATATTTAAAAATTTTGGAAGAGGCATCCTTGTCTATCATAATCATGCACTTAGTTTGTTTAAATAATCTCCAGTAGCAGAGAAGTTTTTCAAAGAATCAATGCATTTTCACTATATAATCAATACAGCCCCGCCCTAACACCAGAACCCCTGACCCTGGGGCCATGAAATTCACAATTTTTGAAAAGGCATCCCTATGCCTTTAAATAGTCTCCAGTAGCAGAGAAGAAGATTTTCAAAGAATCAATGCATTTTCACTATATAATCAATACAGCCCCACCCTAACACCAGAACCCCTGACCCTGGGGCCATGAAATTCACAATTTTTGAAAAGGCATCCTTATGCATCATAACCATGCACTTAGTTTGTTTAAATAATACCCAGGAGCAGAGAAGAAGATTTTCAAAAAATTAATGAATTTTTACTATATAATCAATAGAGCCCCGCCCTAACACCAGAACCCCTGACCCAGGGGCCATGGCTTTCACAATTCTGGAAGAGGCCCACCTCCTCATCATAACTACGTACTTAGTTACTTTATTAAATACCCAGGAGCAAAGAAGAAGATTTTCGAAGAATTAATGCATTTTCACTATATAATTTATAGAGCCCTGCCCTAACACCAGAACCCCTGACCCTGGGGCCATGAATTTCACAATTTTGGAAGAGGCACTCTTGCTCATCATAACTATGTACTTAGTTCCTTTATTTAATACCCAGGAGCAGAGAAGAAGATTTTCAAAGAATTAATGCATTTTCACTATATAATCAATACAGCCCCGCCCTAACACCAGAACCCCTGACCCTGGGGCCATGAATTTCACAATTTTGGAAGAGACAGTCTTGCTCATCATAACTATGTACTTAGTTCCTTTATTTAATACCCAGGAGCAGAGAAGAAGATTTTCAAAGAATTAATGCACTTTCACTATATGATCTATATAGCCCCACCCTGGGGCCAGAACCCCTGACCCTGGGGCCATGAATTTCACAATTTTGGAAGAGGCACTCTTGCTCATCATAACTATGTACTTAGTTCCTTTATTTAATACCCAGGAGCAGAGAAGAAGATTTTCAAAGAATTAATGCATTTTCACTATATAATCAATACAGCCCCGCCCTAACACCAGAACCCCTGACCCTGGGGCCATGAATTTCACAATTTTGGAAGAGACAGTCTTGCTCATCATAACTATGTACTTAGTAACTTTATTTAATACCCAGGAGCAGAGAAGAAGATTTTCAAAGAATTTATGCACTTTCACTATATGATCTATATAGCCCCACCCTGGGGCCAGAACCCCTGACCCTGGGGTCATGAATTTCACAATTTTGGTAGAGGGCTCAATGCTTATTACAATCATGCCAACAGTTTGACTGCTTCATGTCCGGGAGTAAAGAAGAAGATTTTTAAAGATTGCATTATTTTTGGTGGTTTTAGCCCCACCCCTCAGGCCCGGGGGGGGGGGGGGGCAGGGACCATGAAATTCACAATTTTTGTTCCCCTTCACCCATAGATGCTATATACCAAATTTGGTTGAAATTGGTTGAGCGGTTCTAGAGAAGAAGTTAAAAATGTTCAAAAGTTAACGCACGACGGACGACGACGGACAAAAACAGATAGCAATAGGTCACCTGAGTGACTCAGGTGACCTAAAAAGAAGAGCAATTACTTTCCACACTGCATACATACAGTAGTATTGGCAATTATAGATATAACCCTGAAAAAAAATAAACGAAGTGCAGTGTTATAAATTACCCAGACAGTACTGCAAGTTACTGTAGATAAACTTGAACATTTATACAAGTTTATTTAAAGCTTCCATCATGGTGTTTTCCATAATTTGGAAACGTTTTGGGCCGAGATGTCTACCCATCATCCTTGATATCACAATCGCCACATCGATACCGTTCTGATCTTTTAATACTCCCAGCATCTTGCGCCCTGCTCCGAACTCACCGTCATCACAATATTCTTCGTGGAGGACCCCGTTATTGTCTTTGAAGCGATAAATCAAAATATTATGGTTAGCACACCCATATACCGGATCAATCGAAATTTTTTTGTAAAAGTTTCTCACTTTTTGCATACGCGTTTACATCAACCGCAGCAGCATTGAATTGGCTTCCCCCATCAGAGTGAGTGTCAGATCTTTTGGTCGTAATTCCCTCAATTTTCTCAAGCTCCTTACTGTCCATCTGCAGAAGTTCCTCTGCGTTTGGAGTTGAAACTTTGTCCTTATAAACTGTTCCATTTGGGAAAACAAGTTTGTCACCCATAACTCAAGTTTTGATGTTGTCCTGCCAGTACTTGTTATTCAGTTCTATAAGTTTTTTACGGGTTTCATTAACCTGAGGGGGTGATTGGGGTGTAATGTAAAAGGGTAGTTCCTCTCCAGCGTCCTTCTTGACCTTTTGTTGTTTCAGTATCTCATCTATATACTCGATTTTTATAAGCCTTCCAGTAATGGTGCGTGGCTTTCCGGATTTTGAATCACCATTTCTATGAATGTTAGAAGACTCAACACCCTCCACTCCCAAATGCTCATTTATGAGGTGGGGAATTTTTGTTCTCAAGACCTCCCCGCTTTCTTCCTCTAGATTGTGTACAAGAATGTTAAATTTCATTGATCTCCCTTTTAGATCCGTTATTTCTGCTTCTTGTTGTTGAACTTTTCTGTCTAGTTTAATAACTACTGACTTCAGAATTTCTATGTCTTTTCTAAGCTTTTCATTTTCAGATTTTAAAAGCTCCACATCTGAAATAGTTTCTTCCTGAGTCCCGGCCACACATGGAATTTTGTCATCCAAGCCATCCTTCTCCCACAAATCTGCCTTTATGTCTCCAACATCTTGGGATAATTTGGCCAAAGTTTTGTAGGGCTCCATTATAGTTAACGGTTCCATGCCAGGGGCAAAGGTTGCCATCGCTTGAAACGAATTTAAATGTCCAAATCCACTAGAGGGAAACAGCTGGCTTTCCATTATGTCGGGTGCCCATGATTGTTTTCGTGAATCGTACTCATGGGTGCGGATCCCCCTGGATTCCTTATGTGTTCGCACCATTGTATCACAAAAAGGAGACAAAGGAAATAATGAATTTCTAAAGACAACACAAATATTTCCTTCATTTACAAATCCAACCTTCAACAGTGTTGAAAATAAGAAACCGGGCAAATTTCCGGGACCAGTAAATTGCAAATAAGCTCAAAAATTGGTCTAAAGATCTCCACTAGAAAAACACGACCGCCATGGCCAGTAACCACGTGATCTCCATTCAACTATTTTTCTAATTGCAACTTGGCGATCTTTCAAAACAAATTGCTCAACTAAGGACACATCCTTTTACCGGCTTGCTTTCGCTGGGCAACAGAACAAACGTCATTTTTAAACATCTCTCTGCCTTCACTAAAACAATCAATCCAATTAATGATTGAACTTCTGGTAAGTCTTTTGTCTTCATAAACCTTGTACAAATTGTCATATTCTACTGCAAAGGAATTTCCAAGATATACGTTAAACTTTACAGCCGTTCGTTGCTCGAGTACGACTGAGTCAACCATTTTTTGTCACAAGTCACCTATATAATGACGTCATTTTCACATTGTGACATCACAAACACGAAGCAAAACATTATATAACATCTGCTATTTATAGAACATGTGTATGACTATATGTGTGCCAAATTTCATTCTAATCTGAAGTTGTGGTTTTGTAAATATAGGGATAGTTTGCGAACTTTCTGATCACCCCCTCGAATTATATTTAAATAAAAAGAGGAATATGCACTAACTTGACTCCAATGGACTTAATGTCATAAGTAAATGTGAAACCATTGAGGCAAAAAAAAAGAGACAATTCCAAAAATTCATGATGGTAAAACAATGAGAAATATATTTATACTCAAGAAATGTATTGATGTATCAAACAATTCAATAAAAAAAATACATGGACATTGAATCTATCAATGACAGCTCTAGTCCAAAATGACACCATTTAACATCTCAAATGAGTTTCAAAAGTCCAAAGATAAAAAAAAAAAAAATTAAAAACCTACTGTTTGGGCAGCTGCTATCATGAACATTTTTGCTGTGTCGTCCCATATTGCTGGAACAGTGATGACAAAATCAATGTCACTCACTTTGATTTCACCTGTAATTTTTTTGTTTATATTTTCCAGCATGTGGTCTTTCAGATACTGGATACAATAGGTGAATATCTGCAGAGCATTGAATTCCTTCCCTGTCTCATCAACACAAAATGTTTTTCTATGTACTCTCTAAAAAAGATTAAATATTTGTTTAAAAATTCAATTCACATTAAATACAAATACAGTGTAATTAAAACAAATTTTTAAAAATTTCACCAAAAAAACCCCAAACAATTCTTCTAGACAAAATTACCATTGAAGTAAAAAGAGAACAATAAATAATCTTTTTAGGTTAACAAACAATTGAATGTTCCTTTAACCCAATTTAAGAGGTACATCATTCCGATTCAAAATGATTTTAGTTCTAAAGTTCAATTTGAGAGAAATACTTCTTGTCTCATTTTACCTCTGTTAGCTTTGACTTTAAAATCAGCTTAAATCTGCGGAAGAAATAATGATCCTTATGGTTATCATCTTCCGACAGTCTAGCGTATTCATTCTCTGCCTCAAATCCAAACTTAAAGAACGAACCATCAGGCTTAAGTAGAAGTGAAGTTGGTGCCTTGTGTGTTAAATACTCCCCACCATGCCAGTGTTGTGTTATAATTTTAGTCCAGTCATGTTTGAATGAATATGCATAGCCCGAGTAAGCTGTGCCGAAATCGATGGCTGCCACAAGCTGTCGTTTACATACAGACGTCTTTTTGTCAACTTCTTCAACCTCTTCAGCTTCACTATCGGAGTCTGAGAGGTCAAACTGGTCTCCCTGCTCCATTGTTCAAAAAACTATCATAAAAAAGCACCATTCTTAAACATGTTTAAATTTGTTTCTTATACGCAAAAAGTTTTTTTCTGTTGACTTTACATCAAAATCGGTTTAAGATGCAAAAATGTTTGCACATTTTAAAGATAATTTTTAAAATGTGCATCTTAGAGAAACACATCAAATCTACTTGAAGTAAACATAATATTAAGTTATTAGCAATAAATGTTGATTTTCTCAATTCATTTCTGTACTAAATCTCTTTGATTTTTTGCTTCTTCATTCATCCGTTTAATAGATAAAAACTTCTCAAAGTACAAGTTGGTATATTTGGCAAATCCGCAAATTCAGTACGTTTTTCGTTGTACTACAGTGGTGCCTACAGTATACATATACAATCCAAACCATGTACCCCCCCCCCCCCCCCAATTCTCTATTGAGAGGTTGATGGCTCGTTTTTATACTCCCCCTCAAAGGAGTATTAAAACGAGCCATCAACTTCTCAATAGAGAATACCCCTCCCCCCCCCCCACCACCATTCCATACGAAATGAGGTTTTCATATCTAGTCAAACAATTTTCAAACTAATAATTCTGATCTGATAATCAATAACTTTCAACGATTCCTTTAAGCTCTGAAAAATTATAGAGTAATTGGTTTAAAAAAAAATCTTACTTTCGGTTTGAAAATTGAAGAATTTTCTAATTTTACCTCCTTTAAAGCCTGACTTTTACTTCTTTTGCCAACTTGTGAAAGAGATTAGCATTGTTAGCAAAAAAGTTATCTCTGGAAAATTGTTTTTGTTACCTCTAGATAAGATTTAAAAATTGTCCAATTAAGAAAACAAACTTTAACTTGCCTGAGAGTGTGTCGACAGGGGAATCCCAAGGTGGGTGTAAATGTAGTCCGCCGTACACACGATATCTATATTCTATACTGTACTGAAAATGTCGTATTCACCTGTGGAATTGCTACATACAAGGGGCATAACTCGGTAAATCCATCCAATTTTTGGCTGCCAGAATCAAAAAAAAAAATCTTTCACAATATAGCTAGAAAAAAAAAAATGTCACTGGATATAAACCAAATATCAATATTTTTGTTTCACTTTTTTTTTATATCTATAAATCAGTGCAATTATACAAAGTTTAACTGATTTCAGTTTTCTTCAATATTGCAAAATGCACCAATATCACCCATCCTTTACTTAAATGATACATAGGCTTCGGAACTGGGGGGGGGGGGGCTAATATTAGCATTGAACATTGGGCGTAGGTTTAGCCCCCCCCCCCTTTCAACAGGCACAATGCAGTGTAGTCAAAGACAGGTAAGTGATAGCGTTTGAAAAAAAAAATGGTACTCACTACTGGAAGAAGTTCGACCGGTACTTAAGCCTGAAAAATAGTCAAAATCGGGAATTAGTCGGATTAATGTTTTTATTGATATTCTCCGCGTCGCTTAACAAATTTGGTTCATCGTTGCAAAACAAGAAAATGTATCTGCTAATATGAAAAATATGAATTGAAAACTGAGAGAATTGGGAGTTCGGAGTACTAGTTTTACCGCCTGCCCCTTTCCATATTTACAGACGTTGATTGGCTTATTTTGAAAAGGCTCGAGATTCAAAGGCATGGATTGATGGAATATATATATATATAGGCGTACGTAATATTTTGAAGCAAGATGCTGCAAAAATGACAGAAGAGAGTTTTAGGATGGACAAAATATGAATATGAATGACAGTCTTGACTTTGATCCAGCGGCTTTGAACTCGCTGGCTACATCGACCCCGAAACCATCAAAATTATCGAATGACAGATCAGGTCGACGATCATGGTTTGAAAAACCCACGGGAATAACCTACAGCATTGCTGTTGAAAATAAGGAAAAATATGATGCCAGAAGAAATAGTGATGTTGAGCTTGAAACATTGGTTCTAACCCATTTCACAACTTCTCCAAAAATTGGATTTGGGATATGCAAAGTTGGAATTCCAAAACGGAGAACATTAATTGTTAAAAATCCACATGATTATCCACAAAGCGTGAAAATTGAACGTATTCCACACAAGAACATTTTTTCCTTTGATTCTATAGAATTTATTGTCGATGGAGAAAGCATGTATAATCTAGAAATTTCATTCAATCCAGAAAATGAAGGCAACTTTAGGGAAATGATACAGTTCTCTATAGATAATGCTTACAGACTTCAAGCATTTGTTTTTGGAACCTGTCAAAAACCCCAGAAGAAAAAGATTGTGGTAATGATTTTATTTCTTGTTATAGTAATAAAAAGACTTTTAATTTTTAAATCTCAATTTGGGATAACGAAAAAGTGTTTATTTCAATTTATTATTTCATTAAGCCATTTACGAACTAATATAAGATAAAGTTTCTATGAAATATTCACTTGCCCATTACACTGAGTCTGTACAAGTACACTGACAGTTTCACTTGCCTGACTTAGCAGCTTGCTGCGGCCAGTGAGGGCAATCTTGCTTTTCGCACTTATAGATCATGATAGATCTATTTAAGATTTGCTGAGGTGATTTTAATAATCTTTGATTACATATGCTTATGAACTTATTGGGTAAATTATTACGTGAACATGTTGAAATTAGAAATTTAGTTTCAGTGATAAATCAAAATGATGAATAATATCACTGAATTTGTTTTTAGCTCACCTAAGCTGAAAGCTCAGGTGAGCTTTTCTGATCAAATATTGTCCAGCATCCATCTGTCTGTTCGTCTGTAAACTTTTCTTCTTAAGAACTACTGTGCCAATTTCAACCAAACTTGACACAAAGCATCCTTTGGTGAAAAAAATTCAAGTTTGTTCAAATGGAGGGCCATACCCATATTCGAGGGGAGGTAATTAGAATTAGTGAAAATTTAAGGGCATCTTTCACAAATCTTCTTCTGAAGAACTGCCATTCAGAGCCAGAAAAGATGAAACTCATGTAAAAGCTTCATTGCACAGTTTAGATTCAAATTTGTCCAAATCTTGACACATGGGGTTGGGTAAACCAGGATGGGTTATCAAACTTTTATAAACATGGCTAGGACTTACATAGTCAGTGCCAGCTGTCCAATCCTTTAATGTTTCATTCATAAAAAATATTGTTTAAATTAAAATAAAAAATCTTCAAAAATTTTCATCTAATTAACAAAGCCATTTAATTTAATATTGTTTTTTTCTTCTTTCAGACGAGAAAAGGTCTCCTGAATCAAAAAGTAAAAAGACCTTTATCGGTGGTGTACACCCAAAGTTTGGCAAACATTGCTAAATCTTATAGTCCAGATAAGTCAGAAAAGGATTCAGTCTGTGTGAAAAGTTTAAGAAAAGATGAAAACAAACTGCAAACTTCAGGAAAACTTTCTATCAAAAGAGAACTCAAGTCAAGTAAAAAAAATCATCGTAGGTCAAACACCTACAACTCATCAGACCAAGGAGAAATGCAGAACAAATCTCAAGAAAGATCACAGGAAAATAGAGCATTAAGTGTAGACAAAGAAAATGATGAAAACAAAGAGAACCAGGGTAAGACGCCAGAGACTGACAAGAGAAACTTAGAACAGATGACTGATGTTGATAATGAGTCTTCTGAACATCAGCAAACCATAGTGGAAGAAACTTGTACCAATGTCATCTCACCTGACACTTTTCTGAAGAATTTGAGTGGGCAAGGACTTGGTGAGGGGGAGATTGGAATGACGGGGAATTGTAATGATACTCCTTCAACTATACCAACAACTAAGGGGTGTATTAGCCCGAACACATTTTTACAAGATTTGAATGAAACCAAAGAGAATTTACAGGTCAACTCAGACCAGGACCATTCTAGCAGTGTAGATGACGTACTAAATAAATCAGTACCTCATGATGTCATGCTTAGCCAACTGGAATTTGTGAAATCAAATCTGAAATGGAAAATGTCAAACAGTTTATGTTTGAATGCATCAAAGGAAGGTTCTATGTCAGAGACAACTGATGAAAGAGCATTAACATTTGTGGCATCTAACATACCTAACAATGCATTTAGCATTGTTCCAGAGGGCAGCAGTCCTCGTAGAACCACTTATACAGTCAAGAGAAAACGTTCTCCTTGTAAAACAATGACCAAAGTTATGCAGAGAAGGGTTGCTCGAGACAAGGTCACTGTCAATCATTCAAAAGATGGATATGCGAAAAATGTTAAGCCGCAAATGGAGGGTAGGGGAAAGGCTCCCAAAAGGAGAAGAAGTGGAAGTTTTACCCCAAGAGCTGTTCGGAAAACTGAAAGTTTATTTCACCTTACTGAAAATGTTGGAAAAAGCACTCTTACTGAACCAACACCAGAGAGAATGGCAAAGGAAAAACATGTATTTGACACACCAGACAATATTTGTTTAACACCAGAAATACTGAAAATATCCAAAAATCCATGTAACATGTTACCTGAAAAAGAACCATCAAATTGGGTGCTTCCCACACCAGAGAGAATCCTACTGAATGCAAGCAAAATGGAAGGTAATACAAAAACCCCGCTGTCTCATCATTACAGAAGTCTGAATTTGTTAACACCAGAGCAGAGTCTTCAGAAAATGGGTCCAGGGGAGATAGATGTTGGCACGACATGTTCCAAACAGACTCTCAGCCTAGATAATTTTACATCAGACAAAGGATCTCTCACATATTTACCAGACAGCCCTCTGCAACAAGCTATTACACATGAAGTATCAGAAACAAACTTGAAAGAAGTGTCAGTATTGGAAGAGAGACAACCATCTGTCTGCTTATTCTCTCAGTCAGGAGAAAAGGGTCAGAGAACTTCAGACTCCCCTTGTACTAGTGAGAGTTTAGAGGGAAGTTTTATTGGTACTCCTCTTCCAACTAGTCCCAACCCTGACATGTCTAGACGATCCACCCATATCATTCAAAATCCTAGGGTAGTTAACTCTAGTCAAATGGAGAAAAAGCGTCTTTTCCCTCCACTTGACACGCTTGACAATGAAGAACTGGAGGATAAAGAAAATATTCCACTGAGACACACAAGCCCTGACACATGCATAGATAATGTTTGTGGTACATCACCATTAAAAAAACAGGGATTTTCTTTTGAAGAAAAAGAAAAAGGTGATAGGAATTCAAGAGTAGATCAGTGCCCTAAACCTGAAACAATTTCAACCTCATCTGACTATATGAATGATCCATCTAAATCTATAGGTAGTTATGAGCAGTCTTGCAATGAAAATTTACTGAAATTGTCTGAAGTGAAAGGGATTGCCGCAAAGAACGACAATGACAAGACATGCTTAAAACTAGACAATTGTACAAAACAAAGTGATGGATATTTTCATCACATATCTGTCTCTGAAAGTTGTGTTAACAAGGATGCCAGCCTTGTACCTTTGAAACAGGGATTATCAGTTGAAAGCAAAGTAAAGAAAGCCAAGGGTGTTGGTGTCTTTGAAAACCATAGTGAAAAATCCAAAATAATAAAGAAGCAAGAGATATCTAAGAAGGGACAGGTTTCTCAAAAGTGTAAGACTGACGAAGCTGGTGTTCAAAGGCAAAAGGTGACAGGTTAGTAGACCATACAGTGTTGACATTTGAATTATTTATTAAAGTTGTGTAAACATGGTAAATAATGTTACCATTTTGCCTTATAAGTAGTAAGTTTTGTGATAAGATGAACAGCATTTGATGTGAGAATTAAAAGATAATTACTAATTATGCTAATTTTAATACTCTTCAGCTTCAGTCCAAAGACAAACTGCTAAGCCTAAAACAGCTGGAATTGCAAAGTCAAAGCTTATACTGATGAAAAAGACAAAAACAGGTAAAAGAAGTTTTCATGAAAAAGCCATTCTTTCAAACTTAATATCAATTTCTTTTTTACAATACTTGATAAATGAGAAGTTAGTTAAGTCATTAGACATATATTAACTTTTCTGATATTGTCTGTCTAATTGTTTCCGCTTTCATTAAAGCAAGGGGACATTAAATCTCATTCGTCTGTCAGTCTGTCTGTCACAAAAAGCTTGGTCATAACTTTTGAATGAGAAAAGTTATAGCTTTCATGCTTCACATGTACATTTGCCTGTGACAAGACCTTTACAAATTTACTACAATTTTTTGATCCTGTTACCTTGACCTTGAAGTTTGACCTACTTTTAAAAATTTTGAATGAGAGAAGATAGGGTATTCATATTTGACATGTGCATTATCTTTGACATGACCTTCCAATAAACTATGATTTTTGACTCAGTGACAGTCACCTTGACCTTAATGTTTGACTTAATTTTCAAAAATTTTAACATTGGTGATAACTTTTGAATGAAAGAAGATAGTGCTTTTGTATTTGAAATGTGTTACCTCTGACAAGACATTTCCAATGCTTTATGAACTTTGACCCAGTGACCTTGATCTTAAAGTTTAACCTAAAGTACATAACCTGCATTATTCTTTATAAGATCTTCCTATATGTACTATGATTTTTGACCAAAAAAATTAAAATTGGCGATAACTTTTGAATTGAAAAAGATAGGGCATTCATTTTTTATGTATATTACCTGTTACAAGACCTTTCCAAATGTACTACACTACAGTTTTTAACCTTGTGACCTTGACATTAATGTTTAACTTACAGTATTTTTCAAAATTTTTAAAAGTTAGTGGTAATAACTTTTGAATGAGAAAAGATAGGGCTTTGATCATGTTGATATTTTACAGTCACATGTACATTACATGTGACAACACCTTTCAGGAAAAAAAGAATGATTTTTTACATCATGATCTTGACCTAGAAGTTTGACCTACTTATCTAAAATTGTAACTTTTACTCAAAAAGAGATAAGGGTTTCATATTTTTTCACATGTACAATAATATTGTACATCACTTGTGACAAGACCTTTAAGATTTTATTCAGATGTTTGACCTCATGACCTTGATCTTGAAGATTGATGCAGTTTTGCTAAACTTTAATCATGGCTGTAACTTTTTTTAATTTAAACATTCATAAATCTTTTTTATATGATAGACAGGCATTTAAAGAGGACAAATAGACAAGACAGTTACAATGTGCCATGAATAATTGCATCCCAGCCACTAAGCTGCAAAAAGTGGAGGGTCATAATTCTTTGTTTGCTTGTTTGTTTATTTCAACTGATTCATTAATAGATATTTTTTGTAGCCTTACCAAAGCATCCTTTACCATTTGCATCCAAAAATATTTACTATGACGAAAGATGGATGGAAAAGCAGGAACGTGGATTTTCTCATTGGTTGAATTTTATTTTAACACCATCCACTGAAATGGGAAACAACACGAAATGTAAAGGTAAATATAGAACTGAAAATTTCTCTTAAACTAAGAAAATCAACAACTAATGTTTATTTCTTTAATGCCTTAGGCTTATTAATACTGATGATGGAACAACAAAAATATCTGTACAATAAAGAAAATATAAAATAAAGTCTGCACGCCACAATTTCTCAAAAGATTTGGGTGAGAATCTAGGAATTTTTTTATCATTGCCTCAATTGCTTGCATATATCTCAACTTACCATTGTTTGTTTTTGAGGTATAAATAGCACATCATTCTGATAGTTAAGGCCTGCTTCATCATTTACATTTATATACATGTATATTGCTTTATTTTGTTCTCTCTCTCTCTTAGTTGATGCCTCCAAGCTAGATTTTTATAAAACAGGACCCCACAAATTGGCACCAACCAAAGAAGCACTGTCTTTCCGAGAGTATTCAGCCAGTCGTAAATTAAATGGCCTTCGTCGTTCTGCCTGTAAACTATTCCAGTCTGAGACAGTGACAATGGTGGTCAGAAAACTGGAGATGGAGGTAGAAAGTCGACGCTTAATGATCAGAAAAGACCGCAAGATTCATGCTGATCTAGGTAGACTTCCTCTTCTCATTCTGTAACTGTTTTTTTTTCTTTGCATCCAATTATAGCCTAATGCCACAATGCAGAGTTTACTGTTTTAATGTTTGATTTCAGGTCTGAGACAGTCCATTTTAGATCTGTTATTATCTTTCAATCCTTTATGGCTGAGAGTAGGATTAGAGGTATGGGCATCTCTTGGTTCTGCCTTGAAAAATCAATTAATGTTAATATATGTAATGATTTACAGTATGTATAATGTAAACAACTATTATTCACGTACTAGAAATATCTGCGAGTTACGGGATTTTCCTGTACTCACAAATAATTCTCACCGTGAAGATTAATTTGTTTTTGTGAAGAATGTCTTCTCAAGTTTTCAGTGGCAAAAATTAATCATAGCTGATGGATTTCAAAAAAAAGATTTCATGATTAATCACTGTTGATGTTCTTTTACAGTATATTTAAAAACTACTTAATGTAAAAAAAAAATTACAGACTGTATTTGGAGAAATAATCAGCATCAAAGACAACAGTGATGTTATTGGCCTTTCTCACTTCATCATCACAAGAGTTTTGGGAAATCCTGACATAGCCTTTCATTTTGCTCATCCTTCAGTCCCACACCTCTACAAAGAAGGTAAAATCCTGACATAGCATGTCAATTTGCTCATCATTTAGTCCCACACCTCTACAAAGAAGGTAAAATCCTGACATAGCATCTCAATTTGCTCATCATTTAGTCCCACACCTCTACAAAGAAGGTAAAATCCTGACATAGCATCTCAATTTGCTCATCCTTCAGTCCCACACCTCTACAAAGAAGGTAAAATCCTGACATAGCATGTCAATTTGCTCATCATTTAGTCCCACACCTCTACAAAGAAGGTAAAATCCTGACATAGCATGTCAATTTGCTCATCATTTAGTCCCACACCTCTACAAAGAAGGTAAAATCCTGACATAGCATCTCAATTTGCTCATCCTTCAGTCCCACACCTCTACAAAGAAGGTAAAATCCTGACATAGCATGTCAATTTGCTCATCATTTAGTCCCACACCTCTACAAAGAAGGTAAAATCCTGACATAGCATCTCAATTTGCTCATCCTTCAGTCCCACACCTCTACAAAGAAGGTAAAATCCTGACATAGCATCTCAATTTGCTCATTATTTAGTCCCACACCTCTACAAAGGAGGTAAAATCCTGACATAGCATCTCAATTTGCTCATCCTTCAGTCCCACACCTCTACAAAGAAAGTAAAATACTGACATAGCCTCCAGGTATGCTCATCCTTCAGACCCACACCTCTACAAAGAGGGTAAAATCCTGACATAGCATCTCAATTTGCTCATCCTTCAGTCCCACACCTCTACAAAGAAGGTAAAATCCTGACATAGCATCTCAGTTTGCTCATCATTCAGTACCACATCTCTACAAAAAGGTAAAATCCTGACATAGCCTCTAGGTATGCTCATCCTTCAGTCCCACACCTCTACAAAGAAGGTAAAATCCTGACATAGCCTCTCAGTTTCCTCATCATTTAGTCCCACACCTCTACAAAGAAGGTAAAATCCTGACATAGCCTCTCAGTTTGCTCATCATATAGTTCTCTCCTCTACAAAGAAGGTAAAATTCTGACATAATTGAGCCAATAAAAAAGTGTGTATGTTCAATACAAACTCTTCTAGCCTAATTTTTTCGTTGGATGAGGTTAATGCAGCAACAAAATAATATCTGTTCTGTTCCTGTTCCCAATTGCAATTAAATGACAGTTTTGAATTTCTTGTAGGCTACTCGGAGGCTATAGCTCAGCACTTTCTGAAGAAGTTCCTGTTGTTAGTGTATTTCCTGGATCATGCTAAATGTCAGCTATTAATCAAGCATGATCCCTGTCTGTTTTGCAGGGACTCTGATTTCAAAGTAAGGATACCTTATAAGCAGAATTCAAGCTAGAAATTAATTTCGGCAATATTGGCAAGGGTTTTGAGATTGCTAAAATTGAAGGTCGTTAACAATTTATTTAGTACTGGTGGTTATAGATATTTTTCTGGACATTTTAAAATTGCTAAAATTCTTTCTTATTAAATTATTATATTGATTTCTTGGAATAAAATGCTTAGTCTGCATCTTGCTAAAAAATCCACCTATACAGTATTTGAAGCTAGAAGTGACAATTTGCTATTATAAAGTAAATCTGACAGTACAAACTAATTAACTCCTTTTGTTAGCTCACCTGAGCCGAAGACTCAAGTCAGCTTCTGTAATCGAAGGGTGTCTGTCTATAAACTTTTCACTTTTTTGATGTCTTCTAAAGAACCAATGAGCCATTTTCAACTGAACTTGCTACAGAGCAACTTTGGCCAAGTGTCCGATTCGTTTACCCTCATCTCCCGCCAAGGGGGAGATGAGGGTAAACAAATCGGACACTTGGCTTGCGAAGATGCATCTTTGGGTGAAAGGAATTCAAGTTTGTTCAGAACAGGGTCCTTGAGAAGATGAGAATAGGTTGAGACTTCAACAGGAAATGATAGGAGATCAGAGTTTTACAAGGGAGATCATGGGATGGAATCTTTATAAAGAGTTGCAACATTAAACTAAGCACACAATTTTTTTCAACTTGGAAAAATAGAAAATTGAGCTATTTCCCTTTTAAAAATGTCAGTAAAATTGATCAATGAGGCAGGCAGATTTTGACCTGATGTGGTGGTGCCAGAGAAACTATTAATTTTTTTAGGCATAACTATGGAACTTTGAAGAAAATCTGTAGGGCCACAGTGAGTCAGGTGAGTGTTGTGGCCCATGGGCCTCTTATTTAAAACTGATTAAAGTCTATTTACAGTCCTGTAAAGCCCTACTGGTTGAGTTTTCAAGTCACTTCTTGGCCGGTGAGGGAGACATCAATCGACATCTTGGATACCTAGGATGCATCACTGGTCACACACAGACTGCTCTAGATGAGTTTGATTATGCCATTCAGAACTTGTGTACTGATCTCAGAGATGGACTTAGACTGATGTAAGGACATTTTCAGTGTAGTACATTGGGTGATTTTTCAACAAAGAAGGTGGTCAGGAACATTTCTTTTAGAGTGATTAGGAATTTGGCATGCTTTATTGAACATGCCTCACGATAGTAAAAAATTAATATTACTAATATACATGATAACTAGAAATATGTCCATAGGACATGAATGCCCCGCCGAGGGTATATTAGTAATGCAACATTTTAACACAAATTGAGAAAAGTGAGGTCAAGGTCAAAGGAAAGGTAAAGGTCAAAAAACATTGATGCAGTTGAATAGCTCTCATCGGTATGTATCAGCATATGAAGTTTGACACTAATTTAAGAAAAGTGAGGTCAAGGTCAGAGGAAAGGTCAAGGTCAAAAAATGTTGATGCAGTTGAAAAGGTTACATCAGTATGTATAAGCATATGAAGTTTGATGAAAATATTATGAATGGTTTCTTTAAAAATGAGCTAAACACTAATTTAAGAAAAGTGAGGTCAAGGTCAAAGAAAAGGTCAAGGTCAAAATATATTGATGCAGTTGAATAGCTCTTATCGGTATGTATCAGCATATGAAGTTTGACACTAATTTAAGAAAAGTGAGGTCAGAGGAAAGGTCAAGGTCAAAAAATGTTGATGCAGTTGAAAAGGTTACATCAGTATGTATCAGGATATGAAGTTTGTTAAAAATATCTTGAATGGTTTCATTAAAACTGAGCTTAACATTAATTTAAGGAAAGTGAGGTCAAGGTCAAAAGAAAGGTCAAGGTCAAAAAAATGTTGATGCAATTGAATAGCATACATCAGTATGTATCAACATATGAAGTTTGATTACACTATCTTGAATGGTATCTTTAAAGCTGAGCTAAACACCAATTTAAGAAAAGTGAGGTCAAGGTCAAAAGTAAGGTCAAGGTCAAAAAATGTTGATGCAGTTGAATAGCTTACATCAGTATGTATCAACATATGAAGTTTGATTACACTTTCTTGAATGGTATCTTTAAAACTGAGCTAAACACTAATTTAAGAAAAGTGAGGTCAAGGTCAAAAGAAAGGTCAAGGTCAAAAAATGTTGATGCAGTTGAATAGCTTACGTCAGTAGGTTTCAACATATGAAGTTTCATTACACTATCTTGAATGGTATCTTTAAAACTGAGCTAAACACTAATTTAAGAAAAGTGAGGTCAAGGTCAAAGGAAAGGTCAAGGTCAAAAAATGTTGATGCAGTTGCATAGCCCTCATCAATATCTATCAGCATATGAAGTTTGATAAAAATATCTTGGATAGTTTCTTTGAAACTGAGCTTTGAACAGAGCTAAACGCAAAGTGTGACGGAAGGACAGACGGAAGGACAGAAGGACGGAAGACGGACATGACAAACACTATATGCCCCGGCCATATTCATGGCGGGGCATAAAAACAATGATATAAGGATGTAACTTGAAGAATTCTCCTATTACAAACACTATGGAAATGGATGATTTTCGAGACCTCTTGATTGATCTTGGCTGTTTTGACCTGTTTTTATGCCCCGCCATGAATATGGCCGGGGCATATAGTGTTTGTCATGTCCATCCTTCCGTCTGTCCTTCCGTCACACTTTGCGTTTAGCTCTGTTCAAAGCTCAGTTTCAAAGAAACTATCCAAGATATTTTTATCAAACTTCATATGCTGATAGATATTGATGAGAGCTATGCAACTGCATCAACATTTTTTGACCTTGACCTTTCCTTTGACCTTGACCTCACTTTTCTTAAATTAGTGTTTAGCTCAGTTTTAAAGATACCATTCAAAATAGTGTTATCAAACTTCATATGCTGATACATACTGATGAGAGCTATTCAACTGCATCAACATTTTTTGACCTCGACCTTTCTTTTGACTTTGACCTCACTTTTCTTAAATTAGTGTTTAGCTCAGTTTTAAAGATACCATTCAAGATAGTGTAATCAAACTTCATATGCTGATACATACTGATGAGAGCTATTCAACTGCATCAACATTTTTTGACCTCGACCTTTCTTTTGACTTTGACCTCACTTTTCTTAAATTAGTGTTTAGCTCAATTTTAAAGATACCATTCAAGATAGTGTAATCAAACTTCATATGCTGATACATACTGATGTAAGTTATTCAAATGCATCAACATTTTTTGACCTTGACCTTTCCTTTGACCTTGACCTCACTTTTCTTAAATTAGTGTTTAGCTCAGTTTTAATGAAACCAGTCAAGATATTTTTAACAAACTTCATATGCTGATACATACTGATGAGAGCTATTCAACTGCATCAACATTTTTTGACCTTGACCTTTCCTTTGACCTTGACCTCACTTTTCTTAAATTAGTGTCAAACTTTATATGCTGATACTTTATATGCTGATACATACTGATGAGAGCTATTCAACCGCGTCAATATTTTTTGACTTTGACCTTTCCTTTGACCTTGACCTCACTTTTCTTTAATTAGTGTTTAGCTTAGTTTTAAAACCATTCATAATATTTTTATCAAACTTCATATGCTAATACATACCAATGTAACCTTTCAAGTGCATAAACAATTTTTTTTTTTGACCTTGACCTTTCATTTGACCTTGACCTCACTTTTCTTAAATTTGTGTCAAACTTTATATGCTGATACATACTGATGAGAGCTATTCAACCGCGTCAATATTTTTTGACTTTGACCTTTCCTTTGACCTTGACCTCACTTTTCTTTAATTAGTGTTTAGCTTAGTTTTAAAACCATTCATAATATTTTTATCAAACTTCATATGCTAATACATACCAATGTAACCTTTCAAGTGCATAAACAATTTTTTTTTTGACCTTGACCTTTCATTTGACCTTGACCTCACTTTTCTTAAATTTGTGTCAAACTTCATATGCTGATACATACTAATGTAAGCTATTCAACTGCATCAATATTTTTTCACCTTGACCTTTCCTTTGACCTTGACCTCACTTTTCTCAATTTGTGTTAAAATGTTGCATTACTAATATACCCTCGGCGGGGCATTCATGTCCTATGGACATATTTCTAGTTTTGTTTTGTTTTTTTAAAATGAATATTGTGCACCTAGAATTTTTATTTTGATAATAAATAAATATCAGACAAATATCACAACAATATCCCTGATTGACTATTTGTAGACGGATTTTAGACTTGTTGGAAGAGAAAGCACCATTGAAGAGAAAGCTGAGGGTACCAGCAATCAGTCGCCTCCAGAAAATTCACAACATGGATGTAGCTTTTTCTATTCTTAAAGACATTGGTATTGACATGGAGAGAGATGGTAGGTTTTTGACTGAGCATCAGATTTTTTAGCTCACCTCGGCAAAGTTGGGGGAGTTTATGTATTGGTGTCTGCGTTCCAGTTTAAAGTTTTTCAAGCAGATTTATTTCCAATTACTTCTATGCCCTTTATTGATAAGAGTTGCCTGGATGATGCCTATACATGTAGTATGTTTCATTGTCACCAGTCAGGTTTCAGAAGTTTAGGGAGTAGGTCAATGTTTTTGGAGCAGGTTTCATTCCCAACCCTCACCTGGACCAAACTTGCATGGATGATGCATCTAGGGATGGGCACTATCAGACTTGCTTCAGAAGCTGGGTCTGACCTGCATTTTCAGGATGAGTGACTAGGTTAAAGTTTTTGAAGCAGGTCATATTTTAAAGTAATACTGTGCATGTACATAAATTGACGTACTCAAAATTCAGCACTATCACTTGGTATTGATTGTTGGCAAATTCATGAACTAGTGCTTTACACTTCCATGCAATATTTATATACACATGATATATGATTCCTTAATGCTATTCATGAATTAGCGTATCAATGTCAGCGCCAAAGGCACTAAAATATGAACCTCTTTTTTAAGTACACTTACAGTATACCCTATGGTGACCAAACTTGCATTGATGATGCATCTAGGGGTGCATGATTCCAACTTGCTTCGGATGCTGGATCTGACCTACATTTTTCGGTTGAGTGACCAGGTTAAAGTTTTTGGAGCAGGTCTATTCCAAAGTTGCTGTTAGACCTTTGTAACTAAACTTACATGGATGATGCATCTAAGGATGCACGTTACAAGTTTTGCTGCGAATGCAGGTTCTGGTTTAGATTTTTCAAATAAGTGATGAGTGACCAGGTTAATTTAAGTGTTTTTAACAGGTCTTTTTCTTAGTAAGTAACTATAAAGTTCTATGTTGACCAAACTTGCATGGAGGATGCATCTAGGGATGCATACACCAGATATGGTTCACATGCTTAATCTTACATTTTCTGGATAATTGAACAGAAAAGGATTTGGAGCCATCCTTTTCCAAGTTCCTAAACATCCTACACAGACCAAACTTGTACATATTTTGCATATAGGGATGCTTACTATCAGAATAATTATTTGTTAAGGTGAGGCTGTGCCTTACTTTAAGAAAACATTTCTTGAGGTGACCTAATTAATCTTTGATTACCCTACCTGTTTTTTAAATGGTTTGATTTTAAAAATATATGTAAACAGGTAAAATTCATCTTTTTTCTATGTGGTCAGTGTTTTATGAATTCCTAAGAGTTAGTCCATTTTGAATTGAATTATTATGCCCCTTCATAAATATGGCCATGACTTATAAATGGTTATACATGTATAATACCTAATCAGGCCTAATGGTTATACCTGACATTTGTATAATACCTAATCAGGCAATAGATCTGAATATATTTCCAGAGGTTTTTCAGTTGGACCGGTCCTGGTCGGTCAGTTTTTTACTTTCTATGTCTTTATATTGCAGTAAAAAAGGTCACCTCTAGAGACATAGTGGATGGACACAAGGAAAAGACTCTACATTTGTTATGGATGATCATTTTGAAATACCAAGTAAGTTTCATTTTAACGTAGGTCGCGGGTTTGCAGGCCATTTAAAAGTGTCCGAAAACATACCATGAAAATTAGTTATATGAATCCTCTACCTTCGTTTCATATTCTCTGAAAATTTTATAAAATTTGTCTGCATCGTTTTTGTGTAATTATATCCCAAACATGCCATTGTTGTCGTTACATTTTCAACGTTATTCTATTGAATTATATAAGAAAAACGTCGTTTTCGGCTCGTTTTGGGGCAAGATTTTGTTTCAAAAAATATCAATAACTTTTAAATGGTACAGACGAAATTGTTTTCCCTTTGGTATTTTAACAAAGAATTGATTTGAAATAAATCAATGTGAAAAAATTAATATATCTTCGAGTTAGTTTTCGCGTAATTTAAATGTAGATAATTGCTTTTATATCGCAAAATATAACATTTTTAAGAACGACGTCATAAAATATCGCGACGTCATGCTTGACGTCGTGAATATCTATCCGGTATTCAGTACAGAAAAAAAGCTAAAATAATTTTTATAAAAAAATAATTTAACGTCTGTCTGCTTTCAAGTGACCCGTGAATCGTATCATAATAATTCAATATCAATGGAATGATTATTACTTTTATTCGACACGTCCTTTCATTTGGCTGTGTATTTTCCTTTTCAAGCGTGCTGGCGGAAAACGGTATCCTTTAATTCAAGTAAAATGTTTTTATTAAGACCATTCAGCAAGGCGCTTAAATCTACGAATTTCTGCCAAATATCGCTATATACAATATATTTTCAGTATATATTTAAACAAAATATTTATTTTACATACCACTTCTGTTTCTTTAAATAATGGCTTCTTTCTTAATAAAACAAACTGATAATTCAAATACGATCAAAGGAAAAAAGGTCAGTTGAACCTTGTGTCCATGTCGTTTCGTGATACCAAGTGAAAACAAATCAATCGCAATTTCTCGGGCCTTTCCGACATGCCGAAAACAACCACTTGTTTTTCCAAGCTTGCAGGAAAGGCCTGAGAAGATGCGATTGATAACAAATAATTAAACTTTTTTTAAAAATATTTCCAGTGTTGATCATTCGAATCGTAATAAGCGTTCTTCACTAAATTACCAATTCCAACAAAAGTTTTATCTAAGTATTGTATCGACGATACAAATCGTAAAAAGCCTTCATTATTTGTGATAAGTTGTTGCTTAAAAAATATAACACTAAACTACCAATTCCAAGAAAAGTTATAGCTAAATAATGATATACTGAAGAATTTAATAAAACAAAAATCATCGCAGATTTCTCTTTCATTGTGACGTCATTATCAAATGTGCACAAGAAAGTCGCCCAAATCATATATATTGTGTACCCAGTTTTGACGACGTCAGCAAACCCACGACCTACGTTAAATTAGTGATCAGTCCATTCCCAAGTTACTGTAAGTCCTACCTTGAACAAACATGCAAATTTGATATATGTATACTACAGGAAATACACTGAATGTGACCATAAATATATTTTTTGATTCTGTTACAGTACTGTAGATTCCTAAATATACATGAGGAATTTATTTGTTATTACCATGTAATTTTGCAAGAAGCTATGGGCTATCAAAGTTTTACATAGGAATGTATAGGAATCATTTTCAAGAACCACTGGACCAGAAAAGTTTAATTTATGTGAAAGCTTCATTATGTAGTGTAAATTTAATTTTGTTCAGATCATGACCCCTAAGGGTAGGGTGGGGCCATAATGGGCAATCAAAGTTTAACATAGGAACATGCATTTAGTGAAAAAAAATCTGATGATGAAGAACAGCAGGGCCATCATTTAAGAAACAAGCTGCATAAATAAGAAAATAATTAGAGTCTTCACCAAACTGTAATATTATTGTCACATGATGCTTGAGTTCCAGGTGGGGCTAAAGTGGTCATACCCTTGGAAACTCCAGTAACAGTCAAGGGCCTGTTGAAAAAATTTAAGCTTATTGCTTTGATGTAAAAATATTAGGGATGTCAACGAGTACCCGGTTAACCGGGTACTCGATTGAACGTCCGAGTATCGAATACTAAAAATGGTACTTGGTTACTCGGATGTATATTTTTTTCCTTATTTCAAAGTTCATATTTTTATCAAAAACTTACCAAAAAATTATTAAATATTCATACTGTAATTAGCGTGTCGTCATCTACACCTGTAAAACACCCATTATCGCCTGTGGCTGTGTATATACAGTAATTAATGACCAATCATCTGGTACACAGCTTTTCTCACCTATTGTGGTCCTTAGTTTTTGGATGGCTTCAATGATTGTTTTCAGTAAACATCGTTTAAGTATGGTCTATTATAATATTCAAATCGTTTTTAAATTATTTAATTAATATACGGTAGCGAAATCGGACATGCATAGAAATACCGCTACCCACTTCAAAAGTGAAGAAATATTTAGAAATAACTAAAGATTTAAAAAAAAAAAATTGAAAGTCAGTTTGCGTAGTAGGTTTAGTGGAATACAACCAAATTATGAAATAATATTAGATTAGCGATCCCAACAACGTCTTTTCCTTCTCTTTCGTTTGTCTAACATCACAAAACTGCGTAACAGATTGTCCTTTTGCGTTGATGAAATAGGTCCTAAACAAGAACTGTAAACTATTTTTATTTTTTTATGTATTAATTGTGTCTTTTGAGTTTATCTGATAAATAAATTTGGTACCAAAAAATCATTTCTCTTTGACTCAGTTGTTTATATACATTTATAAACGTGATAAAACATCTTTGGGATTTAACAGAGCTTAACCGGGCTCAAGAAAATTAACACACTGTCTTGTATTTTCATTTTTACTGAGTACCCGGGTACTCGATCGGAAAAACGTCAGAGTAACCGATTATCAAAAATTGACCGATTTGACATCCCTAAAAAATATGTTTATTGTCTTCTTTAGATTGGTTTGATATTGAATGTAGATCAACTGAAGGAAGAAATTTCTGCCTTGGAGAGATCTCTACAGCTGCGCAAGCATCTACAGGCTCTAAAAAATTATGAAATGGGTAAGGAATTATACTCAGTTTGTCACAAACAACAAGGCCAATTAGGTCACATTAATATGCAAACATGCTCATGATAGGTAGTGCGGAGTCTAACTTGTTCAAATCATAGTCCCTGGGGTGTAGTATAAGGCCACAATAGTCAGGTTGGGGGGAAACGTAAATTCCGCTATAATAGTGGTATACCACTATTATAGTGAGATTCCGCTATATTTTCAGCCGTAGTTGTCCTCGATTTCATCAAATAACATACTTGCTGTTTAAAGCGCAAGTTATGATGGGAATAAAAATGAACAATAATTGGCATCCTTACATATTATGAATTTTATTTAATTTTCTGCCGATGCGTTTGATAATGCGAACACACTTTTTAAAGCGGAAGTTACATTTTTAACATAGTAACCAGTGATTGCGGTAGTATTGAACAAAGACTGACTCTTAATATCTCTCTCACATGTGCACAAATTAGTGCTTGTAATAACTTTCAACCCATTTTGGAATAGGTTTGTCGATTTTACAGACGAAAAGATGATTTTTGCCTGCATGGTGACGTGTACGGAGGCCCGTTATGACAAACGAAAAAAAGCTCATTACATGTTTACTTTATTCTGATGAAACCGATTTGTATAGTTTTTGCAATAAATCGTAAACAATGATATAAGATGTCATTTCTGCAGGTAATTACATATACATTATATGACATTAGTTTCCGGAATGTTAAATTTTTTTGAAATATTGATTTTTGTATTATGACAAGTAAAGTTAGATTAAAAAAAGAAAAATCTTTCTAAAAACTATTTCAAAAATTATATGTATAAGCGATTTTTGTTGGGAATATTTGGCGTAATTTCTCAGAAGAAACATTGGTGCTTAATACATGTATTATGATTAAACCAAGTAATGGCGAGACATAAATTAATTATATGTTCATTTAATTATGATATAGCTGCAGTTTCCAAAAATAGAAGTATGTTGAAAATTATTAATAAAAGACACCAGGGAGTATGACACATCTGCTTCTTTCCTTAAATATTTTACTAGAGAAAGAGATTGATGGCAAACTAATAACTAAACTTACATGGTACATGTAATAACTACTTTTTCTATCGTCAACTTCCCTTATTATGTAGCAATACAATACATGTATACCATATTACCTGCATGTGGGATTAATGTCTTAAATTATTAATTGATTCGATACACATTACGAACAACAAGGGGTCTCGGTTTTAAGAGGGTCTTCCACCTATTCCCCCCCCTTTTTTTTTTAAATCACAAATCCACCTATTCCCGCTTGCAAATAACAAAATGAGTTGAACGTTCATTTGTGTTTATAACAATTATGTTAATTACATCCCAACTTAGATATACCTGTGTTTTGTAGAATTTAATACACTTTAAGACAGAAAAATACAATAAATAAATCGATGAAAATGCAATGATTGATTTTACTTAATTTTGTACATTTTCTGACAGAAAATAAATAAATAGATGTAAGAAAAATATAATGTAATTCACTCAAATTTTTGCACTTTAAGACAGAAAATAAATTAAATGGGTTCAATTTTTTTTTCAATTTGCTTGAAATACTGTATGAAATATGAAGATAACAAACAGTAATCGATCTCAAAAGTCCATTGAAACAATGCAAATTTTAAACAGAGCAAACACGAACCTCTAAAAAACATCAAAGATGGGATCAGGTGTCATGGAGGAGTGAGCATCCCCTGCCGACAACGCAGATGAGTTAAAGCTCGGTATAGGCATTTCTATGCAAATAATCTAATTATTTTCTATATCTATATCTATTACACAGAGAAAGCTAAAACTTATCGTCTAATACATACTTGGTACCCACGACATGAGATAGCCAGTATACATTATGACGTCATATTATGACGTCATTGTTCTTTACTACACAAGATTATAATCGATATCAACAAAAATGCTGTGGCGCAAGGGCATGTTCTATTTTATTTAATTGAAACAAGGTACATTTAGAAGCAAAATATTCCAAAGTTTGCTGGTATTGCTGCACAAATATAAACAGCTCAGTTGTATAATTTCTATTTGTAAAGTTTTAAGTTGAATAAGGGTAAAATGCACAGTCCGGTATAAGTTTCCTCAAATTCCGATCAAATGAGAAAATGCCTAGGATTTGTGCAGTAGTTTTAATAATCTATAGAATATTCTTCTTAGCATTATACAATTTTTATGTAAAAATAAATAGGATAATCCCTTGCGCCGAAACTGTTTTGTTGATATGTTTCATAATATGACGTCATAATGTGCCCTGGTTATAATATATCGTGGTTTCTAAGTATGCATAAGAAAATAAATCAACCCTTTCTCTGAATAATAAATATACCTCTTATGCGTTTTTATTAGCTCATTTGCATAGAAACTCCTACACCTAGCTTTAACTCACATGCGAAGTGTGTTCCTTATCGTGATAGGAAAAAAACGAAAAAATAACCGTACGCGAAAACAATTCAATGTGTATATAATGGCTTCTTTGTAGTTAAAAAAGCGGGCTTAACATTTTAGCGGCTGTGGCGAGACAACGATGCACTAATTCATGATAACTATTAATAAATGAATTTTGCAAAGTCCATGCTCGACAGGGGATGCGTACTCCTCCATAGCACCTTATCCTACCTATTCGCTCTGCAAAAAAATTATTGCTCAAATGGTCTTTTTTCGTTATCTTCATATTTATCTTCATATTTCTGTTTCTCCTTGTATTTCGTTTATTTACAACAGAATAATCTACTTCTGGTAAATAGGATTTCATTGTTTCTTTTCCAGTGCATATCGTAGTTAAATATAAAATTTCATGCAAGTTAGAGAATCAATAAATCGTGCAGAATTTATTTTACGTCACGTCTACAGGTAATTCCATGCACAAGTGTAATTCTTCTTTTCTTGCTAAGAATAATCATTTAAATTCATGGATTCATCATCAAGAAGGGAAACATTATACACAAACTTAAGATTACTTCGAAAAGTGACATATTATATATATTGCTTACAATTTAGACGACACAAATCGGTTCCATTAAATTGTACATGTGCTGAGCTTTATTTTCATTTGTCATAACGGGCCTCCGTACCCGTTACCATGCAGGCAAAAATCACCTTTTCTTCTATAAATTCGACAAACCTATTCCAAAATGAGTTGAAAGTTATTACAAGCACTAATTTGTGCACATGTGTGAGATATATTAAGAGTCAGTCTTTGTTCAATACTACCGCAATCACTGGTTGCTATGTTAAAAATGTAACTTCCGCTTTAAAAAGTGTGTTCGCGTTATCAAACGCATCGGCAGAAAATTAAATAAAATTCATAATATGTAAGGATGCCAATTATTGTTCATTTTTATTCCCATCATAACTTGCGCTTTAAACAGCAAGTATGTTATTTGATGAAATCGAGGACAACTACGGCTGAAAATATAGCGGAATCTCACTATAATAGTGGTATACCACTATTATAGCGGAATTTACGTTTCCCCCCAACCTGATAGTTATTCAAAGTTGTGGAGGGCGATATATAGAAAAAAAAAGAACAGCAGGACCATGACTAGTCATACATGTATTTATATGCAAGCATTCTTGGGTAGTGCCGATTCAAGATTGTTCAAATCATGGGCACAAGGTGTATGAAAAGGCCACAATAGCACAATAGGGTATCAAACTTTTAAATGGTAATCATGATTTAATGTATAGGAAAAATTTCTTCCATAAATCTTCCAAAAAAAAAAATCCATTAGTCATATTGATATGCAAACATTCTCAGATAGTGCAAATTCAAGTTTGTTCGAATTATGACTCCAAGGCTCTTGTTAGCTCACCTGAGCCGAAGGCTCAAGTGAGCTTTTCTGATCACATTTTGTCCGTCGTCCGTCCGTCCGTCTGTCCGTCTGTCTGTCTGTCTGTCCGTCCGTCTGTAAACTTTTCACATTTTTGACTTCTTCTCAAGAACCACTGGGCCAATTTTGACCAAACTTGGTACAAAGCATTCTTGGGTGAAGGGGAATTTAAATTGTTAAAATGAAGGGCCAAGTCCCCTCACAAGGGGAGATAATCAAGAGAAAACAAAAATAGGGTGGGGTCATTAAAAAATCTTCTTCTCAAGAATCACAGGGCCAGTAAAGCTGAAACTTATGTGGAAGCATCCTGGGGTAGTGTAGATTCCAAATTGTTCAAATCATGACCCCCGGGGGTAGGGCGGGGCCACAATGTGGAATCAATGTTTTACATAGAAATATATAGGAAAAATCTTTAAAAATCTTCTTTTCAAGAACCACGGGGCCAAAAAAGCTGAAACTTATGTAGAAGCATCCTGGGGTAGTGTAGATTCTAAATTGTTCAAATCATGACCCCCGGGGGTAGGGTGGGGCCACAATAAGGAATCCAAGTTTTACATAGAAATATGTAGTAAAAATCTTTAAAAATTTTCTTCTCAAGAACCACTAGGCCAGAGAAGCTGAAACTTATGTGGAAGCATCCTTGGGTAGTGTAGATTCTAAATTGTTCAAATCATGACCCCCGGGGGTAGGGTGGGGCCACAATAGGGAATCCAAGTTTTACATTGAAATATATAGTAAAATTATTTAAAAACCTTCTTCTCAAGAACCACTAGGCCAGAGAAGCTGAAACTTATGTGGAAGCATCCTGAGGTAGTGAAGATTCTAAATTGTTCAAATCATGACCCCCGGGGGTAGGGCGGGGCCACAATAAGGAATCCAAGTTTTACATTGAAATATGTAGTAAAAATCTTTTTCTCAAGAACCACTGGGCCAGAAAGGCTGAAACTTATTTGGAAGCATCCTTGGGTAGTGTAGATTCTAAATGTTCAAATCATGACCCCCGGGGGTAGGTTGGGGCCACAATAAGGAATCCAAGTTTTAAATTGAAATATATATTAAAAATCTTTAAAAATCTTCTTCTCAAGAACCACTTGGCCAGAGAAGCTGAAACTTATGTGGAAGCATCCTGGGGTAGTGTAGATTCTAAAGTGTTCAAATCATGACCCCCGGGGGTAGGGTGGGGCCACAATAGGGAATCCAAGTTTTACATTGAAATATGTAGTAAAAATCTTCTTCTCAAGAACCACTAGGCCAGAAAAGCTGAAACTAATGTGGAAACATTCTTGGGTAGTGTAGATTCTAAATTGTTCAAATCATGACCCTCGGGGGTAGGGGGGCCACAATAAGTACTGGGGGGGGGGGAGAAATCAGGTGAAAAACAGCAAGGCCAAAGTTACTCAGGTGAGCGCTGTGGCCCATGGGCCTCTTGTTTTTTTTTTTTTTTAAATGAACTTGAAATTTGGCTCTAGGTTTGCAGCATAAAAGAAGGGAATCTACTTGTGATGATCTGTACTCAAACAATGAACTTCTAGCCTCCCTTTTGAAATGGTGCAGAACTGTGTGTCTTTTCTATGGACTCAAGGTATGAAATTCTTTGAATGAAAAAAAAATTTTAAAAAAAAAAAAAAAGGAAGAAGACTGCACTTTTATACAAAGTATAATTTAATACGACATTACTTCTTTGCTCTTTTTTTTTTTTTTTTTTTTTTTTTAGCAAAAATGAAATATGATAACCTTTTGCAATGAAACATAAGGTCATGAACATTATGAATTTCTCTAATGTAAAAATGACACCTAATGACTTTAAGGTCAAGGTCAACTTTTTTTCCTCTTCCATCTGCAATTTTTTTCAGGTCTCTCATCCTCTTCTTTTTCCTTTTGTTGGAGACACAAATTCCCTGAATTAGCTTGTATTGTTTTATTTTAAAAAAATCCTTTTTGTTTTGTTTGTATGATTGTTTGTTTCGTTTTTTTTTTGTAGGTGGAGAATTTCACTGTGTCATTCAGTGATGGACAGGCATTATGCTTCCTTGTACACCACTATCACCCAGATCTGCTTCCTCAGACTCTGATTAGCACCAAGACCAGTATGACCTACCAAGAGGAGATGGAGCATCAGACATTGGACTGTAGTTTATCAGACAGCCCAGCCCCAATGTCAGGTAAACTTTACATCTAAAGCTAAGTCTGAAGCTACTGAAAACTGACAGCCAAGGCCCAGCGTCATATCATGTAAACTATATCTGCAACTCAGACCCAATGTAAGGTAAACTTTACATCTAAAGCTAAGTCTAAATGTCAGGAAAGCTATTGACAACTGACAGCCAAGCCCCAATATCAGGTAAACTTCACAACTAAAGCTAAGTCTAAATGTCAGGTAAGCTATTGAAAACTGACACCCAGTCCCAGTGTCACGTAAACTTTACATCTAAAGCTTTATACAGTAAAACACGCTGGTAACGAAGTGCCAGGGACAGATGATTTTGCTTTGTCATAAATGTAATTTGTTATATTCATTAAGTTAACAATATATTTTAAATCCACAGGAATGAAAATCACTTCGCTGTAAGTGTCTATTCACAATAAACCTGTTCACTATAAGCGTGTTTTACTGTATAGTCTAAATGTCAGGTAAGCTTTTGAAAACTGACAGCCAAGCCCCAGTGTCAAACTCTGTCCAACTCCTCAGCCCCAACGTCTGGTAAACTTTATCTCTATTATCTCTATTAAAAGTCAAAATGACCATTTACTTTACTATTTATTAGGGCCCCGCAAGGATTTGCGGGTGCCCTATAGTAATCACTCTGTCTGTCTGTCCGTCTGTCTGTCCATCTGTCATTCTTCCGTCCACAAATTTTCTGTTTTTAAGGTCTTCCGTTCCAACGGAAGACCTTCTACTGATTCTGATGGTTAAGATTATTATTCTTTTTTTTTCTTCTTTTTCCTAGACGCCAACTTTGAGACCTCATATCTCGCTCATTTCTCAACGGATTTTGCTCAAATTTGCAGAGTTTATAGACGTTACAAAACTCTATCAGAATGCTGTCAAACAGTTCAAAAAGTCACTTCCGCTTTTGAGTTATTTCCCTTTAAATGAAAATCTAGGAGTCTTCAATTCCAGACAAAGGCTCCGAGACTTGAAAAACTGGAGCAGAAATTCTACCGAATTTAAATAATAGAAGGATTGAGGTTGTGCACATCGGTTTTTGTTTTTCGATTTCTGTATTCAAAATGGCGCTATATAGGGGTCAAAAATGAGAACGCCTAAAAGAGCGAAAATTTAGACATATTTTCCTTTGTATCTTTAAAACTAAAAATATTTTGATAAGACATGTAGAATAAAAGTTGTGCACAATTTCAAGGCCTTTCATTTGACACCACTAGAAAGGGGCTGGCCCCTCAAATTAAGGATCTGAAGCCCTTTAAAGTTTTTGCTTTATAACTCAAAAACGGTAAATATTTCGAAATGGCTGTTGTAAAAAAAGTTGTTCTTTAACATCTTATTGATCTCATGAAAATGTTATTTTGTTCGAGTTTTGTGTTTTAAATGCGCCAGAAGCTTGACCCATATACAGGTAACTGTTCTAATTCAGCAAGTAAACGAGAGCTCTTCATGCGTGTAACTAAAATAAACTTACTATAAATAATAAATCTGGCTACATTAGATGCTAATATTCTTTAGAATAAGGTTCTTGAAGTGTTTTGTGCTTTATTTCCAAGTTATTTTTTGACAACTTTCCCTTTTATTTCATTTTTTTCAAAGTCGAATAAACCAGTCTACTTAAAAATAAAGGAAAAAGATAACCTTTTCTTCTTATCGTATAAAAACAAACAATATAGTGAGAAAATAAAACCTAACTTTGAAGCATAGACTATTCACAGCCATTAAGTGCATGCCTTTTACATTCACCTTGTGTGTTTACAATTATGTAACACCTTCCTCGATAGCGCATGGCAAAGGAGGTCATTGGGGATCAATCGGCGTGTGATCCAGCGACCTAGTCATACACAAAACAAATCATAGAATGGCCATTCCAAATTCATTTTGTAAACTAAGTCATGAGTGGATAAATATGTTGAATCTTTCAGATTATTTCATAACATCTTTGATTAAATCGCTAGTGCATTTTATTTAATATTTTATTCGCTGAATTACAGGAAAGTTGCCTAGTTATTTTTATAAACAATTTATTTCTCGATATCGAGGTAATTGTCTGTTTTATTTAAAATAAAATTCAAAATATGTTACCTTAATTAATTCCTACTAGTAATGGAACTTTTGAAACTTAAATGTACATGTATGTAATCTAATATACGTTCTTTTGTCGACACCCTTAAAATGTACAACTGTATATATAGATTTGCAAGAGCGCCCCAAATATACGCATATCAAGCGTTTTATAAGTATACATGGAAATACAAAATCCCACATTCACACGCGCCTCCAAAATATGTAGAATGAGACATACATGCGTAACTGTATTTGAATATTACAAATTTATTAGACACCTAACCTTGAACAAATTATTTTTTCTACTAAACTTGTTATTGTATGCGAACAAAATGATCGATAAACATGTAATTATTTATAGGTTCCCATTATTTTTTCTGAAAATCAGAACACATTTATCAGCTCTCTTAAGGTTTTACGGACACATACAATGTACACGCATGCAAGTACAGAACATGCACGTTTTATAAGTGCATATGCAAGAGCGCCCCAAATATATGCATATTGAGCGTTTGAAATACAGAAAAATTCTAAATTCCGTCTTTTTTTCCATTATCTTTGCAATAAAATATCGACTACACTGAAATGATTTTATTGATTTACAGCATATATTAAAGTGAATTATAGGTCGGCTGAGTTGATCATGAGTTGTTTTTATAACGGGTAGTCCTCCTGGCCAGTCATCGTCACAGTTTGCAACATCGTAATTACACAGGTAAATACTAAGATGTCAATCCATATATTTTCCATAAGAAATGAATTACCGGGAGATGTCTCGTTTTCTCTGATCATATATTAATTGACAGCGTTTATGAACAGCTGTTAAAACACAGGCCTTTGTAAACCGGTAAATCACAAAAAAGAAAAATCCAAGACATAAAAAACAGAAAATATAAATGTCTCTGGAAATAACATTGCCTTTAGATTACTAAAATAAATTAATGTCCTCCGATTTTTGAATTAATCCAAACATTCTATGATGTGTACCTGTACAGGCAGTGTGTATATTTTTATGAAGCCTTCGTCCAAACGAACAATATAATAAATCTTGAATGAAATAACTAACCCCTTCAGTACACACACATTCGCCTATACCTGAAATCTAATCAAAATCAGATCTTTTTTACGGCCTGGAATTCTGATAGTCGCTGTATTTCTAATCTGATTGACTATACATGTACCTTTAACAAATATTCTTTAATTTTCTTCGGGACCCCTGCATCACTAGTCAGGTACTGTACCGACTGAGCTACCCAGGCCGATATCCACGACCCAAACCATTACAGTTTTATTAACTAATATCTTCATTTTTTTTAAAATAAATTTTTAACTTAATTATAAGAAAACAACGCATGTGCTCCACGTGTCAATTATTGTGATAGAGGTACTTACCACGTGACCTGATCATAATGCATTCATATTGGTCAACTCTGTGATGCATGGTGTGTATTTATCAAACCTTTCAAACTCTTTCCTCTTGACGACATCTTTAAGTGTATTAAAAAGTCGAACGACTTCCTGTCAATTTTGAATATCGCCACCGCACGTGTATTTTGAACTTTGATTACCAATTTCATTATTTTCATCAATAATACATATCCTTTTAGCCTGTCATTTTCGGATTTTTAAAAACTAAACTTCACACAAAAAATCACGGACTTCTTGTTAAGTTATGATGCAAACAAACGACTGAAGCATCTTGAACACAAGAAGGGTTGGTGAGGTGCGTAACTACATGTATAAAATAAAAAAAAGCAAAGGCGGATCCAGGGCCGGTGCACTGGGCGCACGCCCCCCCCTCCCCTTCGGTTTGAATTTTTTGTATGTAGAACTTATATGTCCATTATCCTAAAATCAAGGAAAAAACATCTCTTATTTGTAAGAATTTGTCAACTTCTGGGGGCTTTGCCCCTGGATCCCCACCAGGGCTTTGTCATAGACCCACTGGGGGCTTCAATGCAGCCCCCCCCCCCCCCTAGACCCCTCCCCTGCCCTCTACTTTGTCAGCCATTATAAAATTCCTGGATCCGCCACTGCAAGGGGCGTAATAAACAAGAATAGTATAACTTTGAAGGGATGTGATCTTCGGTATTGGTACTTTTACCTATGATATATACACAAAGACCTCTAGATCTACACGACAGAAATAAAGCTTGAGCGGCAGCTCTGCTTTAAAACATGTATCTACTTTTCGGTACAATCATAGAAAATTATAAGTATTTAGCAAATCCTTGCTACAAAGCACAAACACCATAATATTAAACTTGACATGTAACTAAAATTATTCCATCAACAATCCACGAACATACATTGAAAGGATTATAAATATCTGTAGAAATTAAAAAGGAATTTGGAATTAAAAAAAAAACTGTTGGCGAGTTTCTTATTGCTGCTATTGCTTTGAACATGCCATTTGATTGACAATCTCTCTATATATGCCAGGACAGACATCTCTACATGTTACTTTTCAAGGACATAACATCGTTTTTGAAAAAGGGGGGGGGGCAGCCAGAGAAAAAAATTAACTTACCTGAAAAGACTTCACAAGTAAAACCAAAATAGGAAAATAGCCCAGAATCCTATTTCCTGGCGGAAGGGGGTGGGGACAACGGGACTATACTGCAACAAAAAGTGGGGGCCAACGGGACTTTCAATGAACATTACTAAAGTAAAAAGTTAGGTCTGAAAAAAAGGGGAGGCTGATGCTACGTGCCTGCTCTTATAGCTCATGCTTTATTTGATCTGCAATATCATAAGTTTACTTGATTGAATATCTCGGAGTCTCTCTTATCCTTTCTACAGCCTTTTAGTTTGACCAACAATGCAAAATTTAGCCTTTTGAACAGTTGGCGTTAGGGTTTTCATACTTCACATCCGAAATTCTTTGTGACAAGACCTTTCCTTTGGAATAAAAATTTTTGACCTTGTGACGTTCACCTTGGGGTTTGACCCACTTTTTAAAAAATCTAACCTTGGCAATACCTTTTGAACGGTTGGGACTAGTGTTTTCACATTCACAGGTGTATTCCTTGTGACAACGCCGTTCATTGGATATCAACAATTTTTACTATTTGACCTTGACCTTGGAGTTTGACGTACTTTTAAAAAAAATTAAAAGTTTAGACTTTTTACCTTTGACATTAGAGTTTGACCTACCTTTGAAACATTTTAATCTCATTCATAACTTTTCAACGGTTGGTGTTAGGGTTTTCGTATTTTTACATGTGTGTTTCTTGTGACAAGACCCACCCTTGGGTACCGACAGTTTTGACTTTTGTCCTTGACCTTGGGGTTTGATCTACTTTTGAAAAAAAAAAACGTTGACCTTTGCCATAACTTTTGAATAAATAATGCTAAGGCTTTCATATTTCAGTGTCTATTTCTTGTGATAAGGCATTCCTTTGGACACCGTTAATCTATCTTGAACTTAACATTTGACTTGAGTATAAAAAAAAATTAACCTTTGCCATGCTTTTCAATAGTTAGTCTTAGCGGTTTCATATTTCACAGTTATATTCACTGAGACGAGATCTTTCTTTGGGTAACATAATTTTTTATCTCTTGACTTTGACCTTGGAGTTGGATACTGATCTGAGAAACTTAAACCTTTGCCATAAGCTGCAATACCGGGGCATCAGTGTTTCACAAACACGTCTTGTTCAGTATCCAAACTGGACAAAAACATTCACTATGAATCCCTAAATCATTGTGTGGAACCTGATAAATTATTTGACTCGATCTATGGTCTGAAAGAGCATGGCTGACCTTATCCAGTCAATAACTCACAGATTGGGATTTTTCTTAACCAGTGTGTGTTATGGTCTTGATGAAAGGTCATTTGGATGAGTTTGGATGAGAAACTTTAAATTCTTCACCGTCTTTTTCTAGTGAAACATTGTTGGTATCATGCAGAGTGTGACATGGCCTAAACTCAAGTTCAAGGTCACTAAGGATAAGATATTTTGACTGGATGTATGGACTGTATGAACATGTGTGAATTTGAGAAGTCAGTAATACACAGATGGGGTTTGCTCATAACCAGAGTGTGTCATGGCCTTCGCAAGGTCATTTGGACAAGTTCAAGGTCACATACATTCCTTTATCGTCTTTTTACTACAGAGTGAAACATTGTTAGTTGATACCTCTTACAAGATTGCTTATAACCTTATGATATGGCATGACCTTGACTCAAGGTCACTTCTTCCTGCCTGCAGCTCCAACGGAAGACCTACTCGTTGCTTTGCAACGAGCTCGGCTCTAGTTTTCTAATAACTTTTTTTGTAGTTGACCAATTAAGTTCAAATTTGGTATGTTGGTTGAAGAGGCAGAAAGACATATTTTGATGCTAAGTTTGGTTCTCTATGTCAACCAGTTTGGAGCTGGGGTGGTGGGGTAGATTCAGAATGAATGCCAGGGCAAAGAGAGATAACTGGTGAGAACATTCCAATTGTAAACTATGAAAGCTGCAACTAGTCCCATGGGATTAATTAACTTTCCTCTTGAAGAAAATCCAAAGCATTATCTGTTTGTGTCAAATTGAGATTAATTAACACCTCTGTCTGCAAATGAAGTTTGTTTTGAAGTTAAGGTCAATTCTGAATGATGTTTACATTCTCTGAAATGTGGATTTAAATAATGTTCATACTTTATATTGGTAAAATATACAATGAGTTATGATTTTATTGAATTCTAAAAACAAGATATACATAAAGATATGTTTTTTTTAAAAAAAATTTTGTTTTTATTTTATTTATTTATTCATTTTTTTTTTGGCTGCCGTATGTAAATTCAAGAATACTATGAATTTTAACGGGAAGTCCAATAATAAACTCATTCTATCATTACTGAAAGAGTTCTTATTGTAAACTTGGAAGAAAAGGATAAGAGAGCAGTACAATTAATCCCTTGGGATTAATTATCTTGTCTTGGGCAGAAAATTCTCCAGGCTTATCTTTATTTGTCACTTTAAGATAAATTAACCTTTGTCTGCAACTGATGTTTGTTTTGAAGTTAAGGTCAAGCCTGGGTGATATTTGAAAACACATGCTTTATTCTTGTTTGAATATACATTTAATTGAGTTATTATAGATATGATGTTTTTTACTGCCTTATGTAAATACAGGGATACTCTTTACAGGTTGTTGGATATTTAGGAAATATCTTGAAATTTTATAAATACAGTTGTTATTGCATATTCTTCTTCATATATTTTTTAAATTTTGTAATCAATTAAAATTCTCATTCTGTAAGCTGCCCTCTTATTTTCTACCCCTTGGCGGGGCCCTTGCTGACTGGTCAGTTTTCTAGTTTTGTATTAAACTCAATTTTAAAGTAACTATCCAAGGTATTTTTATCAAACTTCATACATTAAAACAAATATTAATGAACCCTAGGTGAGGCATACATGTCCTATGGACATATTTGTAGTTTACTGTTACAAAAACAAGATTTTATTGCATTTTTCAGCAGTTTCAGCTGACCAAGATGTATTCAAAGATTTACTGAAGAATGAAAGAGAAAATTTCAAAGTTCTGCACCAGAAGGTATGTAGATGGATTGACGATTACTCTGGTATAGGATTAATTGATGGATACTGTGGAATAGTTTGCTCAAAAACATGATTATTCTTTCCTTGATCCCAAATGCATTGTTCTTGCATTCTTTAATTTTAAACTTCCATTTAGTATTTTTGGAAATGTCCCTATCAACAAACACAGAATTCTGCAAGCTGTATTACACAACTTAAATATGGAGGAATGCATCACTTTCACTAAAATTATCAAATTAATGGCAGGTTGAAAAGCATGAATTAATAAAAATGATAACTATAGGTAGTCACATGCCTAAGAAAAGTGCCAGTGGTGGGGGTGCTACAAATGCAATTTCGTAAACAAGCTAAAAATAGAAGAAAGATAAACAAAAAAGCAAAGCAGAATTATCATAATCTCAACATTCAAGTTATTTTTATACAAAAAGCATGGAAAAATTCAGTTTGCTTGTCATTTTGGAATTTAGCATTTTGAAGACTTTTTAAACAATGAGAAAAATATTGTTCTTAAGAAAATGGAATTTTTGATAGATCTAAACAGTATGAAAATCAAATAACATATTCAAATGAAAAGGCAAGTCCAAAATACAATAGCATTTCATAGGTATGGTTGGGTTACCCAAAACACTGTATTTTTTTAAAAGTTTAATCAAAATATAAATACATGTACTCAGCTGTACATGTACAATTAGTGGAGTGGACACATCCATACCAATATGAAGAAATAAAACATCATGCTCAAAATATACCATGCACCATACAATGTACAGCTGTTATTTTTTAATTTGTCAGATGTTAGTCTGCCAAGAAAGATAACTCATCTTTCAGGGTAGACCATTGACAAAAAAAATTTTGGTTTAAAATTTTGCCATTTATTAGTTGAATAATATCTTCCCTTTGTTACTAAAGGTATCCGAGTTAGGTGGTGTGCCTATGATGATAAAAGCTGCTGACATGTCTAACACAATACCTGATGAGAAAGTAGTTGTGACCTACGTCAGTTACCTGTGTGCTCGCCTGCTGGACATCAGGGAGGAATGTCGTGCTGCACGCACAATACAGCTAGCCTGGCGCAGACACTACCTACACAGAGCCAGGGCAAAATTACAGGTCTGTCAGAATAAGTGTTTATCTATATACAGTTACTGTAGATTCCTTACATGAGTACTTAATATCACGAAATGGCTCTTAGACATCAAATAGAGAGAACAGTAATTGGCAAGTAAACAGTTGATCAAGAGATTTTACTGGAATCTTACAACACAAAAATAAAACTAGTAATTTTATCTCACAAAATGGTGATTCTTGCCAAATTACACGCCATAATTAATTCCTCAAGTAATTAAGGAATCTACAGTATAATTTTAATGTCCTTAAATAATAAACTACTACTGTCTTTGTTATACCAGCTATCTTCGGATACTTTCTCCTCTAATTCTGAAATTTAGTAATGTTTATTTATGAATTGGGATTTTTTTTATCTCCAAAGATATGAAAGTCCTTTCAGAGCTAATGCTTTTTAGTCAAAAGAATGACACAAAGTTGCACCAAGGTACAGTGTAGCTTGATTGTTGTGATGACCCATGGTATATATTAGGAGATGTTTATAAACTTATTTCAAAGTTTTTATCCTTTCCTTTGTTAATGCTATGGGTCATTACAAATATTTTAATCATGGTGTGTAGTATTTACAGTGTAATATGAGGTTATCATTTGCTTTATAAACAATTTATGTTTTTTTTTAGGTCCAAGAGAAAGCAGCTATTAAAATCCAAAGATTTATCAAATGTCACAGGCAAAGGACGCTTGAAAGAAAACAACAATACTCAGCTATTATCATTCAGCGATGTGTACGACAATATCTTGCAAGAAAAAAACTCCGACAAATGATGGAAGAAAAACGATTGAGAGCTGCTAGAGTATTGAAGGTGATTAATGGTGTTTCATCCTCTGTCTGTCTAACTTTGTCTTGTTATGTGTAGATTTGTAGACAACTGATGAGCATTATCATTTAATTCCTCTCTCTCTTTCTCTCTCTCTATATATGATACAAGTAAATTTTGAGTACTACTGTAGATCACTATATTTTTGCGACACCTTATTTTCGCGAGATAGCTATTTGGTATTTATTAGCAAGACAAAATTTTCGGGAGCTATGCATTTTGTTGTATATAATCCATAACATTATAAATATACGCGAGAATAAAATTTTCGCGAGGAGAGTCGCGTAATTACGGAAAAATAAAGTTCTGGCTAATAAAAAGTGATTTACAATATTGCATTCATTATAATTTTAATATTTTAATAAGCATATTATTTCTGTTGTATTGTAGAATTACTTGCTGACTTGTATGGAACGAAAGCATTTTCTCAGCATGAAGGCAAGTGCCATTAAGATCCAGTGTGTTGTTCGAGGATTTTTAGTACGGCAACAATTAGCAAAGGAGAAGTCTGCTGTAAGACTGATAGAGAACTGGTACTTATTATCCAAGCAAAGCAAACAACTGAGAGCAAATTTTCTACATAAGAAACAGTGCATAATTACAATTCAAAGAGCTGTCAGAAAGTTCAGGGAGAGGAGAAAGTCAGAAAAAGAAAGGGCGGCAATAGTACTACAGAAAACTTGGAGAGCTTACTGTGTGAAGTGTTGGTACAAAAAGACACAGGCAAGCATTACTGTGATTCAAAGAGCATTGCATGCATGGAAACAGAGGAAAAATTTCTTAAGGAAACGGAAAGCAGTATTATTTCTACAACAAAAATACCGAGCCCACCAACTGGCCAAAAGACAAAGAGCCACATTCATTCAGATTAAATCGTCCTCCATTGTAATACAGCAGGCTTGGAAGAGGCACTTGGAAAAATGCACTCGAGCAGCAACTAAAATTCAATCATATTGGAGATGTTTTATGGCGCTGAGAAAATACAGGATAGTTAGGAAAGGAGTGGTGGCTACACAGGCAGCATTTAGAGTGTATTCTGCCAGAAAACTGTATCTGAGTCAACATAGGGCAGTTATAACAATTCAGGGAAGATGGAAAGAGATTCTGGTGGGAAGGCAGATCAGACAAAGATTTCTTGCTCAAAAAGCAGCAGTTATCACAATACAGGCAACCTTTAAAGGCCATCAGGTTAGAAAGCAGTTCCTACAGACACGTTTTGCTGTGATTATCTTCCAGAAAAGTTTTCGCAGGCTTGTCACTTACAAGAAGTTCCAACTTATGAAGGAGAGCACTGTCAAGATTCAAAGAAAGTGGCGTGCAACACAGCATATGAAACAAATATTTACACAATATCAAATTGTCAAGCAATCAGTATTAGCAGTTCAGTCATATTTCAGGGGGTATAGAGTCAGAAAAGCCATTGGTGTCATACGACAAAGAGAAGCAGCAGCTCAACTTATACAGAAGAGCTGGAGAGGCTACAGCATAAGAAAAAAGTATTTGACAGTCAAAAACTGTGCCAAGATCATTCAGACTGCCTACAGATCATGGAAACTAAGAAAAGATAAGGAGCAGAAATGCAAAGCTGCAATCATCCTACAAAGAAGATACCGAGCCATTCTTAGTGCAAGGTTACACAGGAAATCTTTCCTGCAGGTCAGATCTGCCTGCTGCACGATTCAGAAACAATGGAGAATGAAAGTTATAAAAAGAAATCATGCAGCAATTACAATACAATCTCAGTGGAGGACTTATGCTGCACAAAAAAGATTCAGAGATATCAAAAAATGTGTCATTTCTATACAGACAGCTTATAGGGCGTGGAAGTCAAGAAAGGATTACATACTGAAAAGGAATGCAGCTGTTATCCTTCAGCAGAAATACAGAGAATATAGGAGAGGAAAGGCTCAGAGAAAAAGCTTCCTGATCAGTAAAGGGGCAGCACTGACTATACAGGCATTTTATAGAGGTTACCAAGAAAGAAAACGGTTCAGAACATTAAAGAGGTCTGTCATAATAATTCAGGCTCATTTCAGAGGCTCTCAGGAAAGACATAAGTACTTGTCCAAAAAGTCAGCAGCTTTGACAATTCAGAAAAGATTCAGAGAAATTTTAAGAGCAAGAAGAGAGAGGAGATATTTCCTTCTTCAAAAAGGAGCTGCTATATCAATACAAGCAAGTTACAAGGCATACAGAGCTAGAAAGAAGTTCATTAAAGTTCATTCTGCTGTTGTCAGACTTCAATCAGTGGTCCGTACTTACTTACAGAAGAAAAGGTACAAAGATTTTAGAGATAGAGTTTGTACAATACAGAGAAAATGGAGGGCAACTCTGATGATGAGAAACGCAAGGCTTCAATTTATGATGGTCAAAGGAGCAGCTGTCACTGTGCAGGCGTTTTACAGAAAGTGTCAGGCTCAGCAGGAATTCCAAAAAACAAAAACATCTATCATCAAACTTCAATCCTTCATACGTCGATGTCTAGTCCAGAAGGAGTACATGAAAATCAAGCAGTCAGTGTGCGTTATACAAAGACAATTCAGAGCATACATGGACATGAAACAGACACAGAAGGAGTACCTTATTCTTAAAGGGGCTGTTATTACTATTCAGGCTTGCTTTAGAGGTTACTTGGAGCGTCATCATTACAGAAAGAAGAGGGCCGCCATTGTCAAGTTACAGTCAGGAGTAAGAAAGTTTCTCTGTCAAAGAAATTATGCAAGACTGCGACGTACTGTTCTTGGAATTCAAAGACAATTCCGTCAAAAAATGTGTGCAGCAAGAGTAAGAGAGAACTTCTTCATTACCAAGGGTGCAGCCATCACTATTCAAGCCCACTATAGAAGACATATTCAGCAGAGAGACTACAATCATAAGAGGCAAGCAGTTATAAAACTGCAGGCATTCACTTGCATGAAAATCCACAGAGATTTATTTCTGATCAAAAAAAGGGCTGCCTGTCAAATACAAAAGTGGTACAGAAATAAATTGCAAGGAGATAGAGTTCAAACAGAATACCAGATAAAGAGACAATCGGTAATAATTATTCAAAGTGCTTTCAGAGGTTGGATAGCTAGAAAACAAGCGAAACAAAGAAAAATGTCAATTATCCATATTCAGGCTATTGTCAGAAAATTCATCACAGTACAGAAGTTTCAGATTTTAAAGAAATATACCGAGATTTGTCAGAGGCGCTATCGAGCCAAGTTACATGGACGATTTGTTCGTCATCAGTATTTGGCCCTCTGTAAAGCAGCTGTGACAATGCAGTCATGCTACAGAGGAAAACAGACAAGAAGATTAATGTCATTGAAGCAAGAAAGTGCCAGAAGAATTCAGTCATGGTACAAAGGCAGAAAACAATGCATATTGTACATGAAACTCCGAAAATCAGTCCTACTGTGTCAGAAAATTTACAGAACTCGTAGGTTAGCACAGTCAGATCAAAGGAAGTTCTTGGCCCTTAAAGGAGCCGCTCTGACTATTCAGGCAGTTTATAAAGGTTACAAGACTAGATGCATGTACCAAAGGATGAAGCAGGCCATAGTGTTGCTCCAGGCAGCTACGAGAGGTTTTCTAAACAGAAGGAGGCTGAAGAAACGTCATGAAGCTGCGACAATCATACAGAGAGGTTTTAGAAAACACTTGCACAGTGAACTTGTCAAGGTTAGATTATGTAAATTATGTTTTGTTTGCCATTGATTATGACTTTGTGTAGGTTTTGTCACTTTAGACCAACTTACAATATTGAAACCATAGTACTATACATGTATGTGTAAAATATACAGCTATGGAACATACAAGACTGGGTTTTACTGATATTAGAGAGGTTGAGATCTTAAACTTGTACGTGTTAATATACTTTGACGTACATGTACACGTTTTTATAATTTGTATGTTGATATTTTAAAGACGTATAAAAAGAAAGTGTACATTGTGATCAGTGTCTCTGTTTAAACTATTTAGTAGTCTTGTGACATCAGTTTGACTTTAGTTAGTAAATAAAACATGATTAATAATAAGTGCTCATGAAACTAAACATCCTAAATAATGTAGAACAGTTACATTTTCACACATAAATTGACTAATTTTTATTATAAAACCTACAAGAGTACACTTATGTGTAGATGCCAATCTACAAGTTGTAGGAACGTAGAAAAATTGTCATCACTAAAACTGATGACGTAATATGCGAGGAATTTAGGGAATTCCCCTACTAGAGGTACACGTATAAAATCTCAACCTCTCTAGTGTATAATTGCGACATCCTTTTGAAAAAAATTGTTTTTCAGATCTGTTTAATTAGAAAGACTGCATTATATGTTAAATAAGAAAAAAATACTGACAGATGTTAACATGAATTTGCATTTTAAAACATTGAACACATTAATCAGTTGGTACAAGTAAATAACTTGTTTGCAATTTTGCATTACCGGTAATTGCCATTTCTAATAAAAAGCATGAATTTTCTTTTTAAGCGTCACGAGAAAGAGAGACAAGCATACTTGGTACAATTTGCCAAGAAAGTACAGATTCACATGGCAGCAATGGTCATTCAGAGATCCTACAAAAAATATGTATCATTATGTCAAGCCAAGAAACAACTTCAAAGTGTCCTCATAATACAAGTACAACACATTCTTTTTAAATTGCATGCCAATCAATTTTTTCTTCTCCAGTATCAAATGATAAAATGTTAATTGCTGAAATCAGTTTGCTTTCTTGCCAGACTGACGGTTCATTACAAGAACAAGTTTCAACATTGATTAATTGTAGAACTGGATGAGAGGGCGAATATGCCGCTTGAGGTTTTTGAAGCTCAAGAGGTCTATCTTTGTGATTGAAACAGCAGCATTAAAGTGGATACAAATACAGCATAATAAAGAAAAACACCAAGCGGCCACCACAGTACAGGTAAGATATACAGTCAAACCTCATTATCTCAAACACTGATATCTCAAATACCATAGATATGTCAAAGTGATTTGTAAGTTTACCATATTACTTAAACACAAAAAATATGTCACAAAAAGAGTATATTTCAGCATGCAGACTGTATTTATGATACAATTAAAGATCACCTATACATTTTGAGACCACTTGCTCAAGGGTCAAGATGTGAATACAGCTAGAGTAGCTAAGTACAGTGTATGTCTTTGTCTCTTTTTCTTATTACTCTCTCTTTTATCTAGCATGATTCCGTCTGTGTCAGTCAAATTTTTCTTTAATTTTCTCAGTAGATAATTGTAATTACTATCTGTTTTGAGAGGTTATGATTGAATAGTTTTAATTACAGGCTGTTTGGAGAAGATGTAATTGTACAGTTGTAATTACAGGTTGTTTGGAGAGGTTTAGAATTGTGTAGTTGTAATTACAGGCTGTTTGGAAAGAGGTTGTAATTGTGTAGTTGTAATTACAGACTGTTTGGAGAGGTTGTAATTGTAATGTTGTAAGTATAGGCTGTTTAGAGAGGTTATAATTGTATAGTTGATATTATAGGTTGTTTGGAGAGATTGTAATTGTATAGTTGTAATTACAGGCTGTTTGGAGAGGCTGTAATTGTAATGTTGTAATAACAGTCTGTTTAGAGAGGTTGAAATTGTATAGATGTAATGACAGGCTGTTAGGAGAGAGGTTGTAATTATAAAGTTGTAATTACAGGCTGTTTGAATATATAGAGTTTGTACTTTTATAGTTTTAATTACAGGCTGTTTGGAGAGGTTGTAATTGTGTAGTTGTAATTACAGGCTATTTGGAGAGAGGTTGTAATTGTATAGTTGTAATTTACAGGCTGTTTGGAGAGAGGTTGTAATTGTGTAGTTGTAATTACAGGCTGCTTGGAGAAGTTGTATTTGTATTGTTGTAATAACAAGCTGTTTGGAGAGAGGTTGTAATTGAATAGTTTTAATTACAGGCTGTTTGGAGAGAGGTTGTAATTGTGTAGCTGTAATTACAGGCTGCTTGAAGAGAGGTTGTTATTGTGTACATGTAGTTGTAATTACAGGCTGTTTGGAGAGGTTGTAATTGTATAGTTGTAACTACAGGGTGTTTGGAGAGGTTGTAATTGTATAGTTGTAATTACAGGCTGTTTGGAGAGGTCATAATTGTATAGTTGTAATTACAGGCTGTTTGGAGAGGTTGTAATTGTATAGTTGAAACTACAGGGTGTTTGGAGAGGTTGTAATTGTATAGTTGAAATTACAGACTGTTTGGAGAGGTTGTAATTGTATAGTTGTAATTACAGGCTATTTGGAGAGAGGTTATAATCGTATAGTAGTAATTACAGGCTGTTTGGAGAGGTTATAACTGTATAGTTGTAATTACAGGCTGTTTGGAGAGGTTGTAATTATATAGTTGTAATTACAGGCTGTTTGGAGAGGACGACAGGTGAGAATGAAAAACAAATGTAAGAAGATGGAGATGGTGCGACAACGAGTCGTGGAGGCTCACAGGACCGCTACGGAGGACAAGAAACTGGGAAACAGGACGGAGTCAGCACTGGATTATCTCCTACAGTACAAGCAGTTGTCACATTTACTGGAGGCTTTAGTCCATCTAGGTATAACTGTACATAATTAATTATTTAAGAAGCCAATCTCAGCATTTCATGGAAAGAAATATATACTGTAAATAAATTATTTTTTTGAAACAACTTTATGCATGATTCATCAGTTGAAACTGACCTTAAATACTGGTATGTCAGAATATGCACCATAGTACAAGAGGTAACTAGTACATGATAAGTATATTAGTAATATCTCACACCTCTGTTTATATATATATTTTTTTCAGATGTGGCTACACGTCTGTCCCCAGCCTGCTGTGAGAGACTGGTAGAAGTGAATGCTGTGTCGGTGATTTATACACTGATCAGTAGTTGTAATAGAAGTCAGCCACACATGGAGGTCATTAAAATGGCTGTCAGCATTCTACTTAATCTGGCCAAGGTACTTTGTGCTCAGTTAAAATGACTTAATTCTTGCTGTAATGCACAATTTGATTGGATGCAGAAACTTACATGTATTTTATAAAACTCTTTATGAACCGCTTTGTGGTTTATAAAAGCTAAACTGTCCCAATTCAGGTTATACAAAATAACTTAGGTAGCTATTCAATTCATTCCTTAAATAATTAAATTTTACCAGTACTTTGAAGATATTAACAAAAGTATGTTGATGACTTTTTTAGTATGACAGAACCTTGCCCTCTGTATTTGTGGAGGGAGCACTGAATATTCTGCTGGATCTGATGCAGATTTACAGAGAGAAGGGCATCATATTTAATAGAACCTGTACCCTGGTGGGAATTTTAGGCAGAGATGAATGTCGAAGAAAGGTAATATTAAAAAATCCAACTCTGCTGGAGCCTTGCAGTGTGTTTGTTCATCAGGAAATAATTTATTTTATCACATATTTATGATTTTCTACAGTGGACATAGCTCATATAATATCATTTTCATGTCAACAGTTGTGATGACATAATGTTTTTGCGTAGAAGTGATGAAGTAAAATGTAGTGGATTCATATATTAAAAAAACAGTGATAAAACCTGTGATAACTACAGTGTATGTGTAAAATGTAATAAAAAAATTTCTCGTTGGTCTTTGGTTGGGTATGATTTTTATCCAACTCAGTGTGTTTTCTTTCCCTTAGCCATGCAATGCTTAGAAACTTGTAGGTCATCCAAGTCACTCAGGTGACCTATTGCTACATTTATCTGTTTTTTCCCCTTCATTGTTCATCAACATATAACATTTTTTCAGCATCTTATTGAAAACTGCTCATCCAATTTCCACCATTGTTATCATATAGCATCTGCGAGTAAAGGGAAACAAAATTTGGGAGTTTCATAACCCCCCCCCCCCACCACCACCACCACCACCACCACCACCACCACAGTTTGAGGGGTGGGACTCAAATCGTCAAAATTAATACAATATTTCAAAACAATCCTCTTTACTTCTGAACATCAAAAAGTTGAACTGATGTCATGATCGTAATAAGCATTAAGCCCTGTACCAAAATTGTCATTAAGCGGCAATTTAGCATTAGTGGTTGAAAATGTTATCTATTAATGCAATCATTTATAGCTTTAAGCATTGTAGCTGCAATGCTTTTTTTTAAAACCATAATTCACAAAACTTTGTACCTATTATAATTTTTTTGTTTTACAGACCATACTCTCACAGCCTCGAGTGACAGAGCGACTCCAGAGTCTGTATAAATTGACAGCAAGAAAATATAAACTGCACGAGAATCAGCAAATGCGACAAGCTAAATTGAACGCATCAAAAGTATTTAACTACAGCCTTCCTATCAGAGCTACCCCTCATAAACTCCCAAAGATCCGACCTGACTGGGTATTGCACAGAGGATCTTTGCATAACATTGACAATCCAATGCAGGCCATCACCTTTGTAATGGACAGCCTATGCATTGGACGGAGCTGATTTACAGTGTACCATTTTAATTTTACGCACTTGTTTACTCTCTGAGCTAGTTCTTCTTTCTGTTATAAGGAAATTATTTCACCTCTTCACCTGAGCTAGAGGCTTGTGATCTCTTTGTGACAATTTTATGCAATTGATGATTGTCACTATATAACTTCATTTTCAGCTTCTTTACAAAACTACCAGAAATTTTTCTAGCAAAATATACCTCAAAGATGGGGGATTGTGTAAATGAAGGGTCATTCATACATAGATAGATTAATATTTCTTTAATAGAACCATTGAACCAGAAAAGTCAGAATGTAAAAAATATTTCATTTAGTGTAGATTCAAATTAATTCAAATCATGGTACCAGGTTAGAATGCATTTAGGGTTTGAAGTTTTATGTAGAATATTTCTTTAAAAATATGTTTGTTTTGATATTTGATGATGCAACCTTGGTCAAGTTTCTTTAATGGAAAGCTGAAATATCTTTCAACTAATCAATGTTGTCCATGTATAAATATGTTGATATACTACTTTGATTATTGTGATTGAATACAGTATGATTTACATGAAGCTGATCTGCATGTAACATTATGAGCTTGGAAAACATGCTATGTCGCATTTTAACAGTTGGTTCAACATGCAGATTTTGAAAAAAACTAATGAATACATTTGAGTGCAAGATATAACAATACATGCAATGATATTATTATGGATCTATGTATCATTTGCAAATTGAATGAACGGTGACATTTCAGCAAAAGAGAGAATGGTGGATTTTATCCTGAGTGCATTTTTAGAGGGACATTCTAACAGTTTTATGATACAAGTCAAATATAAATTTCTGATGTTTCTATGCTAGAGATTTTTTTTAAAACAAGGGGAAAAGTCATGTTTTTTAATTTTTTTTGTTTTACTTGTTGATTTGCTTTTGTATTGAGTACAATACACCATCAAATTTTTCTGCTGCTAATGTCATCTGTAGTATGATTTAAAATGAAAGTAACTTCAAAATCATGGTGTTTTTATTTCTTTGGATATTAATCCAAACAAAGTTTGACAGTTGTTTGAAAAACAAGAGCAATGAAGAAAATTAATGAAGTTTCACATGAAAACGAAAACAAAATGAAAACGATGAACAAATGTAAAAATAAAAAAAGATTGACCAAAGTGACATGGATGTAATTATCAAAAAAAATGTTACTGAAGGAAAGGAAAACAAATACGACGAAATAAAGTATATATATATATATATATATATATATATATATATATATATATATATATATATATATATATATATATATATATATAAAGATAAATAAAAATTAATCGAATGCTGTGAGAAAAAAAAATGCTACCTTGATGATCTAGTATTGGTGGTTTATCACATAGGATACGGAGATAATAAATGATGAGGTCTGGTCATAGATATTGATGGTCAGTACGTAAAATGCAACGAAAAGAAGGAAATTAACTGTTTTAGTTTCAAAATTTTAATCTTGATTACTGGCTCACATGGGGGAAAATGATATCATTCAAAAGAGTATTACCCTGGTGAACGCAAAATAATGACGGTAATAATGAAATATGAAGATAACGAACAGTATTCAATATCGAAATTCCAATGAAACGACATAAATTTGGAGCAGAGCAAAAACGGAGCTCAAAATTTAGAGGTGGGATCTGGCTCCGGGGCCATAAAACTTAAACGAGCTCACTTTTGATCTCGGCCTCACTTTTTACTAAAGGAATATATAAGGGGAAAGTGAGACTGAGATCAAAAGTGAGATCATCTTAGTTTTATGGCCCCAGAGCCAGGTGCCATGGATGAGTGAGCATCCCCTGCCGACCGGTCACACCCGCCCTATGCTCCTTGTCATGATCGAAAAAAACCCGGAAAAATCCGTAGAGAGTTCAGTGTATAAATAATGGCCTAATAATTAGTATGAAAAACGTCAGTCAGCATTTGACTCAATGATAGGTTGTATGTGCTGACAAGGTCATTGTATCGACCGTAAAACTTGCGAAATGCTGAATTCAAACGAGACTGTTGATATCCTTGTTTCATCAACTTGTTTGTCAATAGCTTGCCTCGTTTTAGAAATTGTTGGTACGTAGAGCATGCTCTTGCGTATCAAATCAACTAAGAGACATAAACCCCATATAAACTATGCGCATGTATTTAATTACACATAATTTTATACTTAAAAATAGTCATTTTTAATACATTACTGAGTAATCAGTCATCTTGATTTGTTAAAAAAAAAATATCTTTAAATTTTTTTAATGGGTACCATTTTCTAAATTTCTAATATCAAGTGTACATGTTTCCTGTCACGAAATATGGAGATTACGAACAGAAATCAAGCTCAAAAGTCAATTGAAACAATATATATACAAATTGGGAGCAGAGCAAACACTTCTAAAATTATCATAGGTGGGATCTGGTCCCATGGAGGAGCAAGCATCCACTGTCTACAGGTCACACACGGCGTGTGTTCCTTGTAATATCTGGACAAACGGAAAAATCCGTAGACAATGCAGTATGTTTATATATCATTTAAGGTACACAATAGATAGGCCAAATTTTTTCCTCAAACTTTGATATTTTGTTCTAGGACACAAAATCTCTCTTTATATGTAATATGAAAGAAATTCAACCATATTTTTTTGCCATCATAGTTTGAAATATGGACTCATACCCTTGTAAGAAGATTGTGAAATCAGACAGCCGGCTCTTTCAGATATTCTGGCGAATTTAAGCGTTCCGAAAAGATTGCAAGAAATGTTGAAAAAAAAATTTTTTTTCCTGTATAGAAAGAAAACGAACCACTTCTAGCAAAGAAATGCATGGATATTCTTTCATACGAAATCATAGCATGTCGTTTAAAATCAGTTAATTTAATTTCCATAACAATTTTGTTTTAGATTGCACGCTTAGAAGGCAGATTAAAAAAAGAACTGAAAATTATCTGAAAGTGACCATGGAACCTAATTTCATCGATTCTAGTTGAGAACATCACATTTTCGTCATAACAAAAAACTTAAAGTAAGAGACAGTTGCATTAGGTGGTCGATAAAGTAAACTAAGTAAAATTTTCTTATTGTCTTGCATATGTATTTCACACCGAAGAAGCTCAAGTCAGTATTTTTTTAAATGAAAAGTAAAAGAGATCTCATTATTGACATTGTTAAACTGTACTTTGCAAACGGAAAATCGCCAATACTAGTGAATAGCATTTATAGAGAGAAGTACCCAGATGAGAAGCATCTTTCTAGAAAAAAGATTTTTCGAATTTGTTAAAATGTGAGCAATATGGGACTTCAGAGACAAAACTAGTCTGTGACTGAAAAGCGCGGCAGCAGTTTGAAACACATTATACATGGCTTTATTCGAAAACTGCCTTTTCGGTCCATATTTTAAAACGACTTGTTTGAAGAGTAAATAATCCAGCTTTATTTAAACTGTCATATATTAAAAAAAATGGTATGGATATGTTCTTTTCTATTTTGCAAAATTTTCCTTTCATTAATCCTTATAGTAACTTTTTTTGGAAACCACAAAATAGGGACATGTATGCTGAAGCACCATGTAAATATAACTTCGGAACGAAATATTTAGATCTAATAACCACATTATAGGCAAAGACAAATAGGGTTTTATAAGAACGATCTACAGGTAATAGCAAGAAATTCCGTCCGGTATAGCTTTGGGGTGTACTCAGTAAAAGAGCAATTATTACTTATCCCTGGTATTACCGAAAGAGTGGTTCGAGACAATTGATTGCAGCGGTTTTGAGAGGTGGATCTCAAGTTTTTCAACATTCCGGGCTTCTTTTAAGTCAAAAACTTCTAAACGAGGAGTCGTAACATGAGAGCACCTGCGATGAAACTCATGAAAGTTGGTCAAGGTCAATGTAAATGATGTCAATGATTTGAGCATATTATTTACCTTGACCTTCAGATCACAAGTAACCTTCAAGACAGCTTTGATTTTCTTTCCCTATTAAGGTATTCAATGTATAACGACCATATTTTGTATCTAATAAATGAATGGTCCGATATTTGTAATTATGGTATCATTTTGAAGGTGTTATGAAATAAAAATACTCCACCAAAGAAAATTACGAAAATTTGATTACTGTCAAATTAATTGCACCTTGAATTTTACATTGAAGTCTATAGACAATGCATGTGTTATTAAGATATTGTAAAAAGTAATTTGAATTTCATAAAAAGCTCTTGGTGAAAATATGCATGCACTCTCTCTTTATTAAAATATGAAATAAAATTAATCAATTACTGCAGATATTTTGACGAAATTAAAATTTTCTTCTTTGCATCAAGGGCAGATAACTCTTCAAAAACTTTTAAAGTGCAAAATGACCAGTTTCTTATATGTTATCAGTCATGTGAATTTGGTTCATTTTCACTTTCATCGTTATCTAGCAATGCATTTTTAACTAGTTTAAAATGATTCAAAATTGTTCAAAATCCCTTCATTATACATTGAATACTTTAAATGGTAAGTTTTTATGTAAATGTATCTTAATTTAATATGATAACATATATATGGCTTTACACAAATTTTTGGGAATGTTGTCAAGACCTCAGATAAACAAACAAAAAAACAAAAAACAAAAAAAAAAACAAAAAAACAAAAAAAAAACAAAAAACAAAAAAACAAATAAAAACCTTTTCCAGAAATTCTTGGGATTTTTTTTCCTTTAATGCGATACATTCTTTTCAGTGTCGTGCAGGCATTCTCCTTGTTTTTGCATGTGAAATTTATTTTACTGTATTGATTAACTTTGTTATTTAATTATTTATCTACATATACATGTTTTTATTTATGTTGTTTTTTTTTTATTATTATTTATTTTGATTGATAAGCACACATGATATGGACCCCCCCCCCCCCCCCCCCCAAAGAATTAAGTTCCTCGTTTTAATTTTTAATCTAGGATCCTTTCCTCAAAATTGCCCCTCATCCTAAATCTAAACCGGAGAAAATGCCGGTAATAAGAATATGTATTATTGGCATGCACAATGACATCCTCATAACGTAAGGGGTCTTGAGTCCACCCGTAGCCGCCGGTGTACCTGTGCCAGAAATCACGACAGGCGTACTCGTCAGTGACAGAAACGGTGAGAAATCACGCTTACAGGTCGTGTGGGTGTTAGCTATAGGCTGGCGCAATGGTCGCTTGGAGAAATTGTTAATCAAAAATATAAACAAAGTTTATAAGATAAAAAGTTTGCAATTGATACGAACTATATATTATTAATTTCACTACTTGCTATCAAACACTGGCATCTAGTACTTAAATATAGGTATTTTTTATGATAATTATTCCGGATTGTTATAGGCCTACCAGCAATCTTTTTATTTACAGTGCTCTATGTGTGTCCGGTCTTGGCTGCAAAATCCTGACGGTGACCAAGAAATAGAAAATTTCAATTACTTCAAAAGTTAATTAATTAATTAAAAAAACACAAAACAACAAGATGCCAGAAAGGATTCTTATGGATGATCGATGAAAGAGTGTGCTTAGGGGTAAAATGATTGTATTTGCTTTTACCAAATCTCTAATAGATATGTAAACACCATGGGCAAAGCTGAGAATCATATGTTCATATGTATGTACAGGTTCATCATATAGTACAGCCCTTTTACGTTATTTGAAATGAGCTTTTAAAGTGCATTTACATACTGCATTACGATACCTGTATTAACTGATTCTTATTACATTTTCAACAGTGAATACTGTAATTTATTTAATGAATAAAAGTGATATTATGACACAATGTGAAAGGATATCAAAATGGTATTCTCACAGTATGAGAATATCAGAAGTGCGGCAAAACTTATGATTTTCCTTCCCTTCACGAAGAGTGTTTTTAAAAAAAATCCCCAGCCTCTTATAAGATAGAGTTAATGAGCCATCCTGACAGAGACTAATAGTTATACTGCCAACATTTTTCCAAATATGTCGTTAAAAATCCATGTTTAGCCTACAACGTTTTTCAATCTGGCAATTACTTAGCTATGACGTCTCAACCGCTCAACTATGATGTCACAGCCTATGACACTGTGTTACGAAAAGACAAAGGCAAAGGGAAAATCTAAGAAAATGTAATAAACAGAAAATTCAATGTTTTGTAGATGAATATGGAATTTATTTAACTCATGAGACAGGATTTTTTGGTATTTTCACTCGTGCTTCGCACGAAAATATCAAAAAATCCTGTCCCACTTGTGAAATAAATTCCATATCCATCTACAAAACATTGAATATCCTCTATTTATTCGAGTGATAATTACATCACTGTTCACACATAAATCTGAATGTTATGCATTATTGCTGCAGGACATAAATATCTGAACAATGGCTGGGACTACAACTTTATGCAGTGATACCTCAGAAGCTATAGAGCTATTCAAAGCCCAAGGACTGTACTTAAAGCCCATTTCGAAACTGACAGTATGTGTACAACTGCCAAAACTGAAGGAGATGGGTAGGTGATAGACTAGGAAATATGATAGAAATAATATTTGTGACTTAAGAATAATATAATCTATTATATAACTAATTGGTGTATAATTTCTTTAAATTGTGTAATGACTGATGAATTCTAGTGCTGTGGAATCATTATACTTTTTGGGGGTTCAGTTTGTGTGGATTTTGTGAGTACTCCTTTCCTATACACATTAAAAACCTCAACAAACATTGATTATACATGTGTTGGCAAGATCTTTATTTAATTACAGATAAGACATTTGCCGATGAATTTATGCCCCATCTTTGCTTGTGAAGGTTGAATTTAAAAAATTATACTGAGATAAAGCTTGATACAAACTTGAGACTTTAACTTAAGGGTATAATACATATCCCTTACTATCCATATCCAGATCTAGAATACATACTTATTAAGTGTTATCAAAATTAAGTTCATTGATGGGTCATGGATTAATTAAAGAAATCATGAATTAAATAAATGCTCTTTAATAAGATTTATCACTTGTGTGTGAATTCTTTGAGAGAGTATATTTATAAAGGTTTGTCAGTTGCAATTTTGACAATTTGAATTTATTTATATTTTCCCTTTAATCATGAATTAGAATACTTCAGACAACATGCACTTAACTAGACATAGAAATTAGTATTCATTGACAATAAAAAATCAGTTTTAAATTTTCACAGGGAAATCTATATCAAATTGGGAAGTGATGGAAAAAATCAAACACATGGCCAAACCTCATACTTTCATATCACTGAAAATTATCAAAAGCACCATGGAATTCATGAGAATGGAAGGAGAGGCAGATACAAAGTTGCAAATCAAAGCCATAGTGCAGTGCCTTGACTCCAAGACAATTAAACTCAGTGGCTTCCCAGAGGTGCTAAAGGTAAAGGCTGCTGAAGCCAAAATTAGCCACCCATCTCAGCATGACTGGGATTCATTTTTCAGGGATGCAAAACACATGAATGAAATGAAACCAGGAGAAAGACCAGATACGGTGCATTTGAGAGACTTGCCCACAAAGTGGTTCACAAACAGACAGAAAGATAAACCTAGTGAACAAATTGTGAAGAGAGTTTTTGAAAATTTTGGTGAGGTGCGCTGCATGGACATTCCCATGTTGGACCCATATAGGAAAGAGATGACCACTGTGAAGTCCAGTGGTCTGCAGACTTTCAGTTTTAACACAGGCATTACTTTTGATGTTTATGTTCAGTATAAAGACTACATCAGCTTTATGAAAGCCATGGATTCATTGCGAGGAATGAAGTTGTTATATATAATGGACGATGAAGAAAAGAAAGCATATACAGCTAACATTAAGGTATGAAAATGCTTTCAGCCATGTACAGTCAAACCTGTTTTAAGAGGCCACCTTAGGGAAGTTTTGACAGTAGCCACTTAGAACAGGTGGCCTCTTATTTCAGTTTGCCCTTGAAAAAGCCAGTCGATCAATAAATGAACAAAATTCAATGCTATAGTTAAAATAATTAAATTAATCAATAATCAGGGAATAGATAGTTGACTTTAAGCAACACCTTTTCATGCACTTTAGAAGGGAAATCGAACTAAGTTTGTGTTTTATACATTTATGAATTTTTTAAAAACATACTTTCACTTTTTGAAGACTAGAGGCATATTGTAAATATTGCTCAAAAACTGATGTCAACACTGTATATTTTTAAACTTTGTAGGTGGACTTTGACAAAACAAAGCATTTGTCGGACAAATCTATAAAGAAACGACGGATAGAACGTGAGAAGTTAGAGCAATTGGAAAGAGAGAGAGAAGAAAAAGTGCGTAGGGAAAGAGAAGAAGAAGAAAGAAGAATAGAGGAAGAAAAGTAGGTTTACATTTCTTTTTATCAAATGAAATTTATAATAAGGCAGGCATGTACACATTTATACTTAATAAAGGCATAGTAGTATTAAGACCTGATTCTACCTTTTTTTCATCAACTTCAAGCATTCAAGTGCACAGTGACTAACACTCTCATTCCCACCACAGAAAAAATTTCTTTGTCTAATGTACTAATGCATAATGAGTAATTGTATTGTTAAGGAGTGGAAATGAAGATGATTTGATTTTCTTTGTGTATGAATGGCCACATTGCAATTTTTTTAATTTAAATTTTGTTCATACAGGAGGAAGAAAGAAGAGGAGGAAAGAGAAAAGAAGAGGAAATATTTAGAGAAAATAGAGAAGAGGGAGAACAGAAGAAAAGAGAGAGAGGAAAAGAGGAGGCTGAAAGCCCAGGAGAGGAAAAGGCTGGAGGAAGAAAGGAAATATCAGATCAAAATTCAAACGGAGGAAAGACGCTTCCTCCTTGCTCAGAGGAAACTGGAGTCTATTCGCCTACTAGGAGAACTTTTTACTAGAATAAAGGTGATCAACTGTGTCATAGTCTGTCATATCATTTTTTCAAATATACATGTATAGAGTTTCAAAACCAACCATTTGAGCTGAAGTATCAGCAATGGTATTTAGGTGGAAGTTTTTTTTTTTTTTTTTTTTTTTTTTTTACATTATTTCAAAACAGTGATATATATTATATAGTCTAAAATAATCCTGAAGTTCCAGTATTTACTTCTTTTCTGCCATGGCAAATACCAGTATGTATATTCCAAGGGAAGAACTAAGTAGAGTTACTTAAGATAGGTACACATACATTGGAAAATTTACACATTACCACATTGTGACGTGAGAAATGCTATGATGCCTTAGAATTTAATATTTTTCAAGTTAAAAAACATACTGATAATATTTTGAGAGTTCTAAATGAATAAAATTAATTATTTAGGCTGATATATTTTCAGAATATTAAGGTTTCCAATGACTTAGCTCAGAGGGAGATTGAACTTGAGGAGGAGCGATGTAAACAGTTGGAGGAAGAAACAAGGCTCAAGGAGGAAATGAAGCGAAGGAAATTGGAAAGCAAGAAGAGAAGGAAAGAGGAACTTCTTCATCATGAAACAGAACTCAGGGAAAAGATTCTCAAAAACTGGAAGGAGAAGGTATTGTGGAATAGCTAGTGTGGAGAAGTACTGACTTTTATTTATAGCACAGACATTTGTCAGATAGTGTACCGAGTACTCTATCCCAATATGCCGGAATTGTTTCATTTTTTTTCCTGATGGATATGCGAGGATTTTTGCATATCTAATTGTGCCCTGCTCTTTTTCAATGAAAAAGATATTAACAGATTTCTTGCTATATACTCTTTTTTGAAGTTTGGCTAAACTTGAATCTGCACTTAATATGGAATTATCCTATATGTTTTTAACTATAATTTGATTATCTGTCTTAAAAAGAAGTCCTTTTTGCAATAACTTGAATCCCCTTCACCTAAGTATGCTTTGAACCAAGTTTGGTTAAAATTTGTGAAGTGATTCTGGAGAAAATGTTCAAAAAGTGAAAAGTTTACAGATGACACACAACAGACAGACAGAAGGATAGACAGACAGACAGGTGTCAAACACTTAATGTTGAAAAACTCATTTGTGCTTTGGGGTTAGGTGTGTTATAAAGCAGGATAAAGGTTGTAAAAGATTAGATAATTTTTTAGGAAGCTTTTTTTTAGAAACATTCCTAAAAGAGTTATTCCCCTTGGAATGCTTGCTCCATTCAAACACAACAGATCCCAGTTACTCACATCAATAAATGGAAAATCATAAAATTTATGGAACAAAATTACATGTAAATAAAAAAAAATTACATTTCAGAAATAGGTGTTCTCATTAAAAAATCTTAAAAGGACAAAATAACGTACTTTTGTGTGTCTATACAGGAGGAAAAGAAAGAAGATGAAATGAGAGAAAGACTTAGAAAAAGGTTTCAAGGAAAGAAAGTAAGGAGTGCAGCAGTGAAGCCAACAGTGTCTGCAAGTTCAGAGGTCAGGTCCGCCCCCTCACCTCCTGATTGGCGGCAGCGTGGGGAGGAGTGGATCCGAGAGGAGTATGAAAACAAAGTTCTTCTAAGAGACAAAAAACTGAAAAAACATTTGGGTCACAAGTTTCCTAAAGGCACACCTTATAAGCCACACATGGAATGGAAGAAAAGGCTAAAAAGAAAGGAAACAGAAATGAGAAAATGGAAAGAATGGATGGAATGGAAGAAGCAGTTCTTGTATTGGAAACACAAATTCTCTGTACCTGTTCCTTATTTGGATTGACCAGCTTCAGAAAGATGGACCAAGCTATTTTCACCACATTCACTGATGTTTTGATTCAGATTCTTTACTGTTGTGCAAAACATGCAAGTTTCGGTGTTCTTCTGTTTTTCTTTGGAGACATTCTACCCAGACATATTATTAAACCTTTAAAGTTAATTGAAGAAAAAGTTTTGTGAAACAGTCATTTTATGAATGTTAATTTGCATAAATTCAGATAAAAAGTATATAAATTCAGAAAGTTTATTTCTTAAAGAAGATAGCTTAATTCAGAAAGTTTATTTCTGTAGTATATTTTAATGACATGCCTTGTGAAAATGACATGGAATTGTTATGTTTCACATATTAATTAGAAATCTTTATCAAGATATGAATGCCCTTTACATGTACACGAAGTAATCACTAGGTCTGAGTAACTTGAGTACCTTTGAATCTTATGGACTTTATATTTACTACATACATGTACATGTACGTGAAGGATTGTTAAGAGACGACACCTACAGTTTTTTAGCTCACCTGAGCTGAAAGCTCAAGTGAGCTTTTCTGATCACCCGTTGTCCGTCGTCCGTCTGTCTGTCCGTGTGTCTGTCCGTCTGTCTGTAAACTTTTCACATTTCCAACTTCTTCTCAAGAACCACTGGGCCAATTTTAACCAAACTTGGTACAAAGTATCCTTGGGTGAAGGGCAGTGTAAATTGTTAAAATAAAGGGCTAAGTCCCCTTACAAGGGGAGATAATCAAGAAAAGACAAAAATAGGGTGGGGTCATTAAAAAATCTTCTTCTCAAGAACCACTAGGCCAGAAAAGCTGAAACTTATGTGGAAGCATCCTGGGATAGTGTAGATTCTAAATTGTTTAAATCATGACCCCCGGGGATAGGGCGGGGCCACAATAGGGAATCCAAGTTTTACATTGAAATATTTAAGAAAAATCTTTAAAAATCTTATTCTCAAGAACCACTGGGCCAGAAATACTGAAACTTATATGGAAGCATCCTGGGGTAGTGTAGAATCTAAATTGTTCAAATCATGACCCCCGGAGGTAGGGCGGGGCCACAATGGGAATCCAAGTTTTACATTGAAATATATAGGAAAAAAACTTGAAAAATCTTCTTCTCAAGAACAACTGGGCCAGAAAAGCTGAAACTTATATGGAAGCATCCTGGGGTAGTGTAGGTTATAAATTAATCAAATCATGACCCCTGGGGGTAGGGCGGGGCCACAATAGGGAATCCAATTTTTACATTGAAATATATAAGAAAAATCTTTAAAAATCGTCTTCTCAAGAACCACTGGGCCAGAAAAGTTGAAACTTATATGGAAGCATCCTGGGGTAGTGTAAATTCTAAATTATTCAAATCATGACCCCCGGGGTAGGGTGGAGCCACAATAGGGAATCCAAGTTTTACATTGAAATATATAAGAAAAATCTTTAAAAATCGTCTTCTCAAGAACCACTGGGCCAGAAAAGTTGAAACTTATATGGAAGCATCCTGGGGTAGTGTAAATTCTAAATTATTCAAATCATGACCCCCGGGGTAGGGTGGAGCCACAATAGGGAATCCAAGTTTTACATTTTAATATATAAGAAAAATCTTGAAAAATCTTCTTCTCAAGAACCACTGGGCCAGAAAAGCTGAAACTTATGTGGAAGCATCCTGGGGTAGTGTAGGTTATAAATTGTTCAAATCATGACCCCCGGGGGTAGGGCGGGGCCACAATAGGGGATCCAAGTTTTACATTGAAATATATAGGAAAAATCTTGAAAAATCTTCTTCTCATGAACCACTGGGTCAGAAAAGCTGAAACTTATATGGAAGCATCCTGGGGTAGTGTTAATTCTAAATTGTTCAAATCATGACCCATGGGGGTAGGGCGGAGCCACAATAGGGAATCCAAGTTTTACATTGAAATATATAGGAAAAATCTTGAAAAATCTTCTCAAGAACCACTGGGCCAGAAAAGCTGAAACTTAAATGGAAGCATCCTGGGGTAGTGTAAATTCTAAATTGTTCAAATTATGACCCCCGGGGATAGGGCGGAGCCACAATAGGGAATCCAAGTTTTACATTGAAATATATAAGAAAAATCTTGAAAAACTGGGCCAGAAAAGTTGAAACTTATATCGAAGCATCCTGGGGTAGTGTAGAATCTAAATTGTTCAAATTATGACCCCCGGGGGTAGGGCAGGGCCACAATAGGGAATCCAAGTTTTACATTGAAATATATAAGAAAAATCTATACAAATCTTCTTCTCAAGAACAACTGAACCAGAAAAACTGAAACTTATATGGAAGCATCCTGGGGTAGTGTAGATTCTAAATTGTTCAAATCATGACCCCTCGGGGTAGGGTGGAGCCACAATAGGGAATCCAAGTTTTACATTGAAATATATAGGAAAAATCTTTTAAAATCTTCTTCTCAAGAACCACTGGGCCAGAAAAGCTGAAATTTAAGTGAAAGCATCCATTGTTCAAATCATGACCCCCGGGGGTAGGGCGGGACACAATAGGGAATCCAAGTTTTACATTGAATTATATAAGAAAAATCTTTAAAAATCTTCTTTTCAAGAACCACTGGGCCAATAAAGCTGAAACTTATTTAGAAGCATCCTGAGGTAGTGTAGATTCTAAATTGTTCAAATCATGACCCCCGGGGGTAGGGCGGGGCCACAATAGGTATTACAAGGGGGGGGGAATCTGGTAAAGAACAGCATGGCCAAAGTTACTCAGGTGAGCGATGTGGCCCATGGGCCTCTTGTCTTTAGGTTACTTCCACAAAATTGAAAGTCAAAAGTTAATATTATCATTACACATTTATGTGATGAATCATTTGTACTAGTATATATTTTATCTCAGACTTCATACATATCGGATTGAGAATGTAAGATACATGTAGATACCTATGTCTCAACTATTCATATGCCTTTTACTTAAGTACATGTATCTAAATGACGCAGTACAGTAAATCTTTTTTTAAAGACAAAAGATCATTTTTCGATCTTTACATAGGTGAACATGCTAGGAACTCACCGAAGATTTTGAAATTATTCTGGTACAAAATTAGTGTATACATGTAATTGAACATACAGACTCTATTCATTACACAAAAGACCCCTAGCCTAGATTCTGGTTCACTAGCTCAAAATTATTACCATTTTTAGTGACTCAGGTGACCTATTGTGTTGTCTATCATGCACTAACATTTGAATATTTTCAGCTTCTTCTCTAGAACCACTGACCAATTTTAATTAATTCTAGCATACAACATCTATGAGGGAAGAGAAACAAAAAGTGTGATTTTCATGTTCCCTACCTTCCTGGGCCTTAGGGGTGGGGTTAAAATCCATCAGAATTAGTGTTATCTTTAAAAATCTTCATCTTTACTCCTGGACATCAAGCATTCAAGCTGTTGGCATAATTGTAATGAGCATTGAGACCTCTACCAATTGTGAAAATCACGGACCCAGGGTGAGAGGTTTTGGAGTTAGGGTGGGGATCTAGTGATCATATAGTGAAAATGCACATTTTTTACAAAAATCTTCTTTCCCCCTCTATATGAAGCAGATAAACTAGGTGCATGGTTATGATGATCATGGGTGCTTCTTCAAAAATTGTGAAATTTGTGGCCCCTGGGTGAGGGGTTCTGCAGGAGGTGGGATCTATTAATTATACAGTAAAAGTACATTATTTCTATGAAAAAAATCTTCTTCTCTACTCCTGTGTATTAAGCAAATAAACCTTCTTCTCTTCTACTGGGTATTATGGTAAACAAACAAAGCAAGTATAAAGTTATGATGAGCAAGGATTCTTTTAAAATTGTAAATTCCATAGCCCCCAGGTAAGGGGTTCTGGTGTTAGGGTGGGGCTCTGTTGATTAAATAGTAATATTACTTTAATTCTTTGACCCAAAGGTATTTAGCAGACAAACTAATTGCATGGTTACGATAAGCAAGGATGCCTTTTCAAGTAATTTGAAATTCATAACTCCTTGGTCAGGGGTTTTGGTGCTAGGGAACTTTACTTACTTAGTCCTCTTCGTGCTTTGAGCACATAAGGCCTGCACCGAGGACCTCCATCTCTGACATTTGCTGTATCATGCCCCAAGTCCATCCCTGATCTTTCATCTCTTTTTCTACTGAATGTAGCCATGTCTCCTTTGGTTGCCCTCTGTTTCGCTTTCCTGGTGGGCTACCCTTGGTATATCATATGTTTCCATTCTCAGGAAATGGCCAATCCATTTCCATCGTTTTTCTTTGATCTGGTTGGATATAGCAGCTGTTTGTGTTCTTTCATATAGCTCTTCATTGCTGACCTTGTTCGGCCAGAATATCTTGAGTATTCTATGGAGGCGTCTTGTTTGAAAGGTATCTAGTTTTTGAGTTATGTTGTTTTTCACCTTCCAGGACTCATATCCATTGAGGAGGACTCCAATAACATTTGTTTTGAATGTCCTTATTTTGGTTTTGGTTCTGATAATTGAAGATTTCCAAATGTTTCGTAGGTTTGCAAAGGTGGCACGGACTTCTGCTATTCTATTTATATATTGGTGTTAATGAAGGGCTCTTTTTAATATATACCTGGTAGCAAAAATGCATTTCTTTGAAAATCCTCTTTGTCCTTCCTTGGATATTTAGCAAACATACTAAATGCATGGTTATGATGAGCAAGGGTGCCTCTTTCAAAATTGTAAATTTCTTGATCCCTGGGTCAGGGGCTCTGGTGTTAGGGTGTGGCTTTATTGAATCTATTAAGTGAACATTTGTTGAATCTATTCAGTGAAAATGCATTATTTATTTGAAATTCTTCTCTGCTCATGGACATCTAGGAGATTTTTACAGTGTTACATTATACTCAAGTGACCCGTTCAGGCCTTTGGACCTCTTGTATTTACTGGGCACTGTGTGATTTGGTCACTGTCCTGTAATTACAATTTTGTTTTCTTGTAGCAGATACTTTAATTAGCAATTTTTCATAGAACAGTTTTTAATATGTACTGGAGAAGTTACTTGACATTTTGAAATCATCTGTTTTGGAGTGAAATGCTACTGCGTAAAGTAAAATTCCAAATAAAACAAAGGCACTGCAAAGCGGAGCATCCCTTGCAAAAGAGCATATTTATCACAATACATGTATATTTACTAGTGTTACGCACACATCCATTATGCACACATAAAATCACCCAAAAGTATGTTACTATATCCCCTCCACCTTTGTTGGGAGGAGATAACAAAGCCTGAAGCTCGTGTTTTATGGTATGTTGATGGAGAAATGTGTCCCTTATTTGCAGGAGGTACTCTGTAGAATCTACATGGTTGAAGTAGAGCTTATTTTGACTTCTTTACATGTACAACAGTATTGGACTCATGTCTAGTTAATGAATTCAAATAAACATCAACAGACTAATTATAATTGCATTAAGTAGTCTATAAACAGTTGAAGCTCAGATGCTATAAAAAGTACAGACACATGCAATATGTATTCATACATCAGTTCTCCTACACTTAAACTTGGTGCAATGACTTTATAAATCAAAGAAAATTCTAAACACATTCCTACTGTTGAATAATCAATTCAAAACTGTAAAACTGAGAGGGATATAAACCTTATACAATGTATATGATCTGCTAAAGACAGAACTTTCTCATCTTTACTTATTGCAGAGATGATGCCTAAATGGCTAAGTGCCTACTCATCATTTCATGGATTCTGAGACAGCCTATAGATTTCTAAATGTACAAGTAGTAAGTCACTCCTCATTTGGCACAAAAAGCACAATAAATCAGGGATCTTTCCAATCAGATCTCTGAAAGAAGGGCTTGCAGTGTCTATACAATGTAAGTGAAGTAAGTGTAAACAAGATAAAAAGGGATTTAAATTCAAGGAACAATTGAAGCAAAATGACTTTTGATGACTATGGAAATAGTCCTATTGTAGAAGGACATGATGTAAACATTGTAGCATTAACTCCTCTCTCAGAGAGGACATTTTCAACAAAAGTTGAATGCTTACATATTGATTAACAACTTTAAGTAAACAGAAACTTGCATTCAATGGCTGCAACTTGACACACCATTGCAGTGCTACAAGCAAACAAGATTACATCATTGCTGGCAGTTATATATGGAACAGAGGATAACATTTTGGTCCCTTTTGAAAACTTATGGGGGCTCATCACAAATCTTCTAAATCAATCTAGTTCTTTAGAGAATTATATTTCTGCTTGTATTATTGCCTTTTAGAAGTGTGCTGTAATCAATTCTACTGCATGAAATATGCATCTGTAGCTAGAGTGCCAACATTTCATAATGCTTTCAACAATGCAATGCCAATCCCTAATAGGAAGTTGTGCAGACCTGAACATTTTTTGTTGACACAGAGATCTTTGTTGAACAGTTTAAACAAATACTGTATACAGGGTTATTTTCGCCCCTTTCACACTTGCAAACAATTTTGCCCCATTTTAAAATCGCCCAGTCACAGTTCTGTTAAAAAAATTATACTGTGTTCCTTGAATTCACCCTAGCTGTTTTAAATTTGCCCACCTGTGAGTAGGGTGTATGGGGCAAAAATAAACCGGGGGCGAAATTTTCACAATATACAGTAACAGTTTAAATTGTAAAAGAGAGCAAAACCATTCATAAAGCTTATAAGATCCACTTAACAAACACAAATCTTAAGAGATTCCAAAAACCAATCCACAAGAACTGCATGCAGACACCTGTGATAAAATGTACAATTTAAAAGAATACAGAAATTTTAGATAATTGAATATACTTTAATTTTCATTTAATGTCATTTGTACAATTATCTGATACAGTGTTGTAATATGTCAGTTTTTGGTCACATTTTCTCTACTGGATTAATTGCCAGAATGTGGAATCCCGCTGCAATGACATTAGCTGTTGCCTCGCACAGAAGAAGACGACTCATGTTCACTTTCACGATTGCGCCTAAAAAAGATTTAAAACATAATTATTGCCAAATTTACAAGTTTGAAAAAAAAACAAAACAAAGTCTCTTTATTAAGGTCAGACGACACGTTCCTCGAATATCTGCTTTTGTCTCTTTGTAATTTACTAATAATATTTACAATTGTAGTTATTATTACCTTGCTATATCTTAACTGATTTAAAATATCTTTTAAATATAAAGACTAAAAAATTGTGATATAAGCTATTCAAGCGATTTCCAAAAGGATTATATAGGAAAAACCATCCTCCGATACCTTTCACAAATCCCTAGTAAGGTAACTCAATTTTTTGCGAGGAAACTAGTTAACGTAGAAGTACTTCAGTGACAAATTATTGGGAAAAATTACATGTTATTGGGAAACGTGTGGTCTGACCTTAATAAAAAGACCTGTCAGATAAAATTCATCTATATCATTGGGTAAAATACATGATCAATGTATTATATGTCATTTAAATATGTATTTTTTTATGTCATATATATGTTATTTTCTGAAAATGTGGCTCCAAACAAAAAAAAAAAAAAAAACCCAGATATAAACCGACTGATGCCATAATGTCATTTCCCATAGTTTATCATGTCAGGCACATTTGATGCCAAAAAAAAGTCTTCTCTGACAAGCCGAGATACATGCCCCCCCAATTTTCACAAAGAACTGTAAACTGCATATTTGCTTTAAACATTAGGTTAGTATTTTTTGTTCTGGTACTCTTTTAGAAGTCTTGGAGTATATGTATACTGTACATATATGTAGATGTTAATATATAACAGGCAGCTTTATTACATCATTGCTAGACAACTGTTGTTCAACAGCTTATGCTACAAGTAATGAGAGAGTCAATATTTACAATGAATAACTTTAACAAAACCCTGACAGATTTGAGCAATACAGTAATGTTCGACTTATTAGATTAATTGTTCTACTGCAGCACATATTATGAAATGTAAATATTTACAGATATTTACCAGTAAGCTATTTTAAGGCTGATCAATGTATGCTTAGTAATTATTTTTCTACGTTTATCTCGAGACTGAATTTATTACCCCAATGGACAGAGTTTAATAAGCAAGAGACACAATAGTAAATGGTAATTTGATTTTTGATGACATTATCAGTGATACCAAAGAGGAAAATTGTATTTATAAGTCATTAAATCAAAGTCTGTCTCACATTGTGTAGGAGAGCTTAGCAAACAAGGGCTACTGTCATGGTAATGAATTGCAAGCACTTGACTTTCAGCTTTTGTCTTGCTTTGTGTCACTCACTTCACATTCTGAAGTCGCAACCTCAATTTCCATGAAAATGTTTCGCAAACACTACTAATCTGTGATCAAACACGTATCTTTGTCAGATGCAAAGCCTGCCATCAATCTCAGCTCCCCTGCTAATGCTTATCAGCCTCGGGCAAATGCCGCGTCAAAGTCACTGCCTGCATTCTGAATAGCTAGTGGCTACACTCCATACAAAATGCAAGTGACATGACAGTAATTCTATCAAATCAGCAAAACTCTCACTCGGCAATGCTAAATGTCTTGACATACTCATCAATTTCAATGAATGAAGAACCAGAGAGAGAGATTCTGCACTTGTCTGCTGCAATTCCTCCATTTTCATTACTCATTCTAATGAAATAGAAATCTATCTGAAGAAACAACACTTCCATTTTTACTTCAACTCCAATTACGAAGCCCTGAAATCACTTTCTGCTCGTATTATTGAGCCCGTCAGAGGTTTAATTCTCGAGTTCAATACCAGAAGAAGTATGTGATTAAATTACTGTACTCAGTACCAACGTTAGCCAGCAGTGATTAGTGAAGTTATAAATGATTCTCTTGTCAAAGAGGACTTCAATAAGGTACTCCACTGGGACATTGACATTAAGACCAGGAAGTGCGTATCTGCTGATCCTTTCAATGTCAATGAATTCATCAGTCTGTTTTAATTTGCAGCCATTTGCCAATTAGCCCCTATGCATGGTGTTACCCTGGTATATTTATTAAACATATACCAATACCTTAGTAACCTTACAGCACTACCATTTATACACAGGTTTAACTCCACATAGTGTCAGAACATATATTACCATCATGGTATTAACCTTTTTTGCAGTATGTGGTTATAGCCTAAAACATATGTTTAACATAATATATAAAACTTCAATGTATTTTACACATATACACTTAAATACTTTATTTGGAACATGTATTTTTGTATCTAATTCTAACCTACACGTATGTTACTTGTTTTTATTATATGGCAGCAGGTTTAGTTAATACATTACATATCTACAATAGAACATATATATATATACAGCTGTGACAAACGTATTAAGTTAGACTGTATTTTTTTGGTACAGAAATATTGTTTTAAATTTTATGGTTTGTGTAGTCTGTATACATTATGAAGAATCAAATACATGTTACTGTACCTTTTTGCCTAAATGTTTTTGAGAATTTTTGAAAATCAAAACTTGTCTATCAAATTTAGAGCAGCATAATAGACAAATTATCCATTTTTTTTTTAAAGAATTAAAAAAAAATCCCAACACCCCACATCTCAACACTAGAGCAAATGAGCTTACAAATTGATATGCTCATACCCCCATCATGTACAGCTGTATGAGTATAATGGCAAAGTAAATTTCTTGGCAGTATGTAAAGGAGACTCTGTGAAAGTTGCATTGAATTTCATTTAGTGGTTTAGAAGGAGTTAACAAAATGGGTACCCCATTTATTGAGTATAATATCCATGGTTTGCTATGGGAAACCCTAAATATCTGTACAATCAAAACATGAAAATTAATAGACTGAGGAAGTCTCATTAAATTTTATTCAGTGGTATAGGAAGAGTTGGGTACACCAAATATTAATATCTGACTCTGTCTGATTAAAAGTTTAAATAAAAGGTGCTCTATGACAATTTGTAGTAAAGATTCTGTAAAAGTCTCATTAAATTTCAATTAATGGTTTAGAAGGAGTTGCAGATAAAAGATGGGTACCCCAATATTATAGAAATAATGAGAGTGTGTGCTTGGCTATGGGACACCCCAAATATCTGTCTGATCAAAATGTAAAAAAAGGAGGTGCACAATAGGGCCATGCAATAAAGATTTTGCGAAAGTTTCATTAAATTGCATTCAGTGATGTAAGGAAAGTTGCAGATAAGGGATGGCTACCAACCAGTGTAACAACCCCCATTATGGTATTTGTATATAAAATTCAATTCATAATAAAACCTTAGTTATCCAAGGTATGTTTTGTAATAATTGCTTCCCTAACATAGTCGGTAGTAATACTTGAAGGAAAACGTATATTGCGAATTCGCTATATATAGTTATACGAATTCGTTATACGGATAAAACGAATTACGGATATAGCAAATTAAATTCACAGGTCCCCAGGACTTCGCTATAACTGAGTTTTACTGTACATAAATACATTTTCATGCATTTTTCTATGGTAATTATTATTCATTTTATGTTAATTTTAGTTTTTTAAAATTCAACGATATTGTTACAGTGTATTTATAAGTATACATACCAGTTGCTTTGTCTTTCTCAATGCAGTAACAATTGTCATAAAATTCAGTAAAAGTGTTTGCCAGTTCATACAAATATTCACACAGTGTGTGTAGGAGTAGGTCATCAAGGCAACGGGAAATGACCTCTGGTAACCTCAAGATACATTTTGCCAGTTCACACTCCTTTGGATGATCAAGAACTATTTTTGTACTGTTGGCTGCCTTTTGCAAGTCTGCCTGAGATACATTAGAATTCCTTGCTATTGACCTATAAATAAGGAACAACAGAAACAAATTAATAAAGGAATATATATTAACTTGTCAGTTAAAGTTATTCTAATGATTCAATTTATACCAATTTCACACTTTTTATGATAAGGAACTATTTTGGCCAAAATTCATCTCACTTCTTATAACTTAGGAAAATAAATTAATGTAGAAAATAAAATTATCATAAAATCAATTAAATCCTAAATAGTTACTGCAATGGTTGAATTTAGAAACAAGAGGTCCATGGGCCACATCGCTCACCTGAGCACATTGGCTAGGCAAAAGCACAAATCAGTTCAGTATTGAAAAGAATACCGGGGAGGGGGGGATTGAATTTTAAACTACCTGATGATACTTCCATGTCAATTTAGCAAAAATGGCTTTGTTGTACTTGAGAGGATTTTTAAAAAAAAATTCCCATATATTCCTTTGTAAAAATTTGATCCCCCACTGTGGCTCTTACCTATCCCAGGGGTCATCATTTGAACAAACTTGAATCTACAATACCTGCGAGGATGCTTCTATATCAATCTGACTAAACATAGCTTTTCTGTTCTTGAGAAGAAATTTCTATATGTTCTTATGTAAAACTTTCGATCCTCCCATTGGGCCCCACCCACCCCCAGGGTCCTCATTTGAACAAACTTGAATCTACACTACCTGAGGATGCTTCCATATCAAAATGACTAATCATGGCTTTGCAGTTCTTCTTCAGAAGATATTTTTCTATATATTTCTATATAAGACTTTGATCCTCCATTGTGGCCCCGCCCTACCCCTGGGGGTCATGATTTGAACAAAATAGAATCTACACTACCTGAGGATGCTTCAACATAAATATGACCAATCAAGGCTCTGCTGTTCCTGAGAAGAAGGTTTTTAAAGATTTTCCTATATATTTCTATGTAAAACTTTGATCCTCCATTGTGGCCCTGCCCTACCCCCGGGGGTCATGATTTGAACAAACTTGAATCTACACTACCTGAGGATGCTTCCATTAAAATATGACTCATCATGGCTTTGCTGTTCTTGAGAAGTAGATTTTTAAAGATTTTTCCTATATATTTCTATGTAAAACTTGATCCTCCATTGTGGCTCCGCCCTACCCCCGTGGGTCATGATTTGAACAAACTTGAATTTACACTACCTGAGGATGCTTCCATATAAATATAACTCATCATGGCTTTGCTGTTCTTGAGAAGAAGATTTTTAGAGATTTTTCCTATATATTTCCATGTAAAACTTTGATCCTCCATTGTGGCCCTGCCCTACCCCCGGGGGTCATGATTTGAACAAACTTGAATCTACACTACCTGAGGATGTTTCCACATGAGTTTCATTCATCTTTCCTGGCACTGTGGTTCTTGAGAAGAAGATTTTTAAAAGATGCTATTAATTTTTCACTAATTCTTAATTATCTCCCCTTGAAAGAGGGTGTGGCCCTTCATTTGAACAAACTTGAATCCCTTTTACCCAAGGATGTTTTTTACCAGTGACAAGATTTTTAGACATTCAGTAATTTGAGCTATTTGGAGGAAGGTGTACTGTACAATTAATATCTGGCAAAAGGTCACAATAGATAGTCCAGGACTTTTTGTTTATCGAAAGTTTGCTTTTCAACTTAATTATTTTATCAAATTCGTTTTCCTATTACAAATTTTGATATATAAATTATGTTAAAAATAGCATTAACTTTGTAAATTTAATACAGTTGAACAGTTGAATAGCTATCACCAATTTGTATTAGAGTATGAAGTTAAGAAACATCTTGAATTGCTTCTTTGAAATTTGAGTTTTAAACACAACAAATTATAAAGTCAAAGGACTTATAAGTAATGTCAAGGTAAAAAAAAAATGATGCAATACGTTGAATAGCTCTTACTAATATGTTTCAGCATAAGAAATTTGATAAAAACATCTTGAATGATTTTTTTTTTGAAACTGAGCTAAACACAATTTTTAAAAAAAAGTGAGGTCAAGGTCAAAAGAAAGGTCAAGGTCCAAAAATGTTGAAGCAGTTGAATAGTTCTCATCAATATATATCAGCATATAAGGTTTGATAAAAATATCTCAAATAGCTTTTGAAACCGAGCTAAAAGAAAAGTATGATGGACAAACAGATAGGAGGATGGAGAGACGAAGACAGACATGACAGACACAATATGCCCTGGCCATATTCATGGCAAGGCATAATAACATCTGACTTGGGTCCTTAACACTGGACCCAAGGATCCTAAATTTCACAATTTAAATAAAGAGGTTATTGCCTATTATAAGCATGCAACAGGAAAGGGACCAAAAAATTCACAATTTTTGATTCTCATCATTCAACGAATGCTATTGGGTACGCCCTTTGTGATGAACGCTGCATCCAGCATTTCTCTCTCACAAAGTTATTAACCAAACACAACAAAAACATTGAACTTGCCATTCTGAAAGGAACCTTGAACTTAAAAAAACCTGACCTGAATAAAGGTCTTGACATCCCCTCTGGTCACATGTACTTTTGTGTGAAGTATAGGAACTTCTTATGTTTATTCATTAAAAATATGGACCAGATATGAATTATATGTATACACATTTTCGACATTGACTTGCTCAAATGTCCTTGGTCAGGGTCATAAATCTGTGCAAAGAATGAGCTTCCAGTGTTTCTGCATTATAGGATATGACAAGAAGTCTACATTTTTTTTTATATTAACCTTGAATTTGTACAAATGACCTTGGGCCAAGGTCAAGACACACCACTAGCATAAAAGCAATCTTTGTGAGAAGAATCAACTTCCAATAATAATCTATAAGAAAGTTATAGACCAAAACAAATTATAAACCTCTTTTCTGCTAGTAACCTTGAAATCGTTAAAATGATCATTATTCAAGGTCAGGACACCTTCTGATCATGACCAATCTTTGAATCAATTATTAGCTTCCAATGATTCTCCCATTACATGATATGGCCAGGACAGAAATTATATATTTTTTCCCAGTGAACTTGAACTTGTACAAATGGTGTTGGGTTTCTTCCCAACTATACATCACTATTATATAATGAACTTTCACATAATTACAAAACAAGATGATTGAGAAAATACCTGATTCTGGTGTAGGCATACAATAAATATGCAGCTGTGTTTCCTCGATCATCCAGCATCTAAAAAATTAATTATCATTTTAATTTATTCGTAAATATGGACCATCCCTTGCATATAAGTATCTATAATGCCAGAACAAAATAGGAATCAACATTTATTACTTACTCATGTATCACAGAAATGCTGTTTATAACAGCTAGAATCAGCACAAAAAATAAATAACTTTCAAGTGTTTTCATTATCAAGTCTACCTGTTATAATCCATAAATTGCTCACAGATTACACAAGATCATGTAACCTTTATCTTGATTATCAACTTAACAATATTATTGTAAAACAAATACCTAAAAATAATTTGCATGTTACAACAGAAAATACACTTTGTATGCCCAAAGCTAAAGATTACGACTAAGTCAGACAATCACAATCATCATGATTAGGACAAAAATTGAAGCTTTTCTTCTGATTTCTCCTTAAAACATGATTTATTGTGTAAATTGACGTTAAAATGGCAGCAATTTTTATTTGTAGTTTGAATTCCAACCTCAAATTATGACAGAGAAAATTTTATTTTTTCTATAATGAAAACAAGCAAATTCAAAGAACTGTGTTTCGCTGCTTTTGGTGTCAAAGTGGTTGTGATGCAATTATTTATGACATATTGTAACTGTTTTGTCTGTATGTCCTGCCTTGTCTGTCTAGCATACAAAAAAGATTTAACTTTTTGAATTAATAAAAATTACGGCCAAAACTTAAGGTTTTTAAAATTGCATCAAATGTCAAGATCAAGAGGTCAAATATCATTATACAATCTGAAAGGTTTTGTCACAAGTAATGCTCATGTGAAAACAATACAAAAGCCCCGTCTCTTCTAGAGCAAAAACCAAAGACCAAAGTTAAAACTTTAATTAAGTAGATCAAACTTCTAGGTCAAGGTCTTGAACTCAAAAATGATGTTTTTTTTTCTGAAAGGTGTTGTCACAGGTAATGAACATGTAAAATATGAAAGTCTTATCTTATCCAATTCAAAAGTTATGACACAATATGTTAAAAATTTTGAAAAGTCCTGTAGGTTAAACTTCAAGGTCAAGGTCCAAGGTCAAAAAGTATTGTTCTCTGGGAAACAGGTAATGCTCATGTCAAATATGAATGCCCTATCTTCTCCCATTCAAAAGTTATCACCAATGTTAATATTTTTGAAAAGTAACTTCAAGGTCAAGGTCACAGGGTCAAAACTCATCATACATTCTGTAAATCTTGTCACAGGTAATGTACATGTGAAACATGAAAGCCTTATCTTTTCTCATTCAATAGTGATGACCAAGGTTAAAGTTTTTGTGACAGATGGACAGAGGAATGAGATTTAATGTTCCCTTGCTTATCTGAAAATGGGGGACAAAAAAAATCTTTAATTGCACTTTAAAAACTGAAACTTATCAAAACACCAAACAATTTAAAAGTTCAAAATAATAGAATTTTTAGTTGCCTTAACACAACTGTATACGTGATGTAAAACACATACATCTATTTATTAACTTCTGAAGTTATACATTTTTTCAACACAAATCATCCAAATTCTTCTCAAGTCATGTTATTCCATTTCTTCTATCAATCTCATTTGAACATCATTGTCAAGGTAAAAGCATTTGCAATTAGAAACTGTTTTTCAATTATTTGACTTTTTCCTGGGAAAAAAATTGACAGATAATACAAAAAAAAAAAATCATCTAAAATAAAAACAATTGCAGAGATAAGGTGCCATATGGACATTGGATGTCTGCTGCCTGTATGCATGAGCCACACAACAGGCAGCAAATTATCTACAACTGTTACAGTTGGTGGTCTGAAATATCACAAAGGTGACAAGCAGACCTTGAATTTCCATGCTGCAAATCCTACAGAAATCTGAACCTTGTCTATAAGTAATGCTGCAATTATCCCTAAGGGTTCTAATGAAAGATTTAAAGCAGCTTTTTAAACAAACTTTTAAGATATTCATAATCTTTCAAGTTGCCTAATGGGAAAATATGAGGTCTTTTAAAAACTCTAAGCATATAATGCCACCAAATCTGTGCTAGAGCTGTCATGGTAAAATATGACCACTATAGAAAATTACGAATTGTACCAAACCATTAAGAGCAGCTAAGTAAATGCTGTTGTGAAAATTTCATGTATCTAATTAAATCAAATGCTGCCATTAGTAAGAGTGCACTTATGTTGATTAGAATATAAACTGAGATACTATTCTGAGTTCCTACATGATTTAAACAACTGAGAATGTGTTTTTTTTCCCGTACCTTATCAAATGAGAAGACGTAGTCGTGGTTTCTGTTGTGAGATAAATCAGCATACTTAATACAACCATATGCCACGGCTTTCTTAACGGCCTCCAGCTCTTCCTTTGTCAGTTCCTGAGAAAGAAAAATTAGAAATGGATGCATTGTCTACTGGAAAACAAGAACCTTGATTGAAGTATTTTGTAACGTTGTCACATTTTTAGGCCTTTGAACAGCATGAGAGCATATGATTCTACTTAGGGTTGACAATTAAAAATTACAGAAGTCTTGTCAAAATCAAACAGATGTAATGTCAACACATCAATACAGTACCACTCAGAATTGAATTATAAGCTTGGATCAGATTTCATTCCTAACAACATAACTATATATATAACATTTCCATTCATTACAAATGTAGGTGGCTGATTTATAACAAGAGGTCCATGGGCCACAATGCTCACCTGAGTATAACCTTAGTCTTGCTTTTCTTCATCAGATTCCCCCTTTTTTCCTATGAAAAATTGTGATCACATATTGTGACCCAACCGTAACTCTAAGGGGTGTCTAAATCCACATAATGTGGGGATGCTTCAATATCAATAAGACTAACATGGCCTTGTTGTTATGGTAAAAAATTCCCTGTATACATGCACTATGAAAAATTTTAGCATAAACCTAACTCCATGGTCTATAATTTGAAAAAAAAAAATGAATCCACACAACATGGTACTGTTTGCAAATTAATGATCCTTTATTGTGGTTCTTGAAAAGATACTTAAAGATTTTTTCCCTATATACATGTATTCCCATATGAAGTCTTATCCCCCTTGTTGCACTGATTCAAACAAATGAATCTGTATTTTCTGAGGATGCTTGCATATTAACATCATAAATTATATAGCCTTCTAGTTCTTGAGCAAATTTTTTCCCCTACATGTTCCTATGTAAAACATTGATCCCCTTTTGTTATCTCACTATAACTTGGGGGGAGAGGGGGGGGGGGGTAATTTGAACAACTGAGAATCTACACTATATTAGGATGCTTATACATAAGTTTTTTTTCTTTTCTGTCACTATGATTCTTGATAAGAAAAAGAGATTTTTTCCATTTATTCCAATGTAAAAATTTTAACCCTTATTGTGGACCCCCAAGGCCATGATTTGAACAATTTAGAATCTACACAATCTCAAGAAGCTTTCACATAAGTTTTGCTTTTTCTGGCCCAGTGATTGTTGAGATATTTATGACCCAACCTTTTTTTGCTGCAATTTTCTGATTATCTCCCCTTGGAAGCGGGCTTGGTCTGGTCCTTCATTTGAATAATTTTGAATCCACTTTACCCAAGGATACTTGCCAACTTTGGTTAAAATTGGCCCAGTGGGATTGAGAAGTACTCAAAAATGTACAAAGTTTACAGAAAGATGATCAGCTGGATGGTATAAGAAGAGCTCACTTGATCTCTTAGCTCTGGTGAGCTAAAAATGCAGACATTTTCATACTGCAGCCACCCCCTTTCCAGCAAGTGAAACATGAATATGATTCTACTTATAATAAACATTTTTATTCTTTCCAATAATACTTATGTCATTAATTATCAAGTATTCACAATACAACTCTTTCTGAACTTTCGAATCACATGCAAATAAATGTCATGTGTTTCTTGATTTCTCTTGAGAATATTAATGACCTACAGTTTTGTTCTATACACAGGAATAGCATCACTAAAATACAGCATGAAAAATATCTCTATGTCATTATAATAAATTTAGCTAACAAATAAAACTTCAACATTTAGAATATATATATGGCAAAGGTTAAGCAATTGCAAATGTTAAGTATTATTTATCAGACTACCCTTTCCATTATAATGTTTCTCACAATACAGAACATCAATTCTTTCATGTCCTATTGTGCATCTGTTGTGTATCATGTAAACATTACATTGTGGGTACTGTAGACTAACAAATGAATTATAAATTGAAATGAATTCATATCAATTTGCAAGCATGTAATAACAATTTTATTGTACACGTTTTCTCCAAGGGAGGAGATATATTGGTATTGGCATTATTGTAGGTCTGTCACAAAATTGAGTGTGGGCTATAGAATCTTGATAATGAATAGATTCAAACTTCTGATCAGTTAAACGTTTCCCATGCCCTGAAGATGTATCCTGATATTCAGACTTATTATAAGAAGATATATTGTTTACATATTACATTTGGCTGTGTATTCTATCTAGTACCTTCTGATGAGAGCAGCTTCTGCTAAAACTTCAAGAATTTCAAAGAAATTTTTAACTTTAGTAACTACTACAACAAAATGCATCAAAATAATAATAATAATAAAAGAACAGAGTTACATTACATCTGATGAAGTCCACTTGTGTTCCAAGTTAATTTTACTGAAACTGGACACAAACTGTACAAGAAGTAATTTTATGAAACAATTTTACAGAAAGTAACTATGGCCATTACCATTCACCAACATCACATATACATGAAGGTAATCAAAGATTAAGAAGCTTTAAAGGTGCATAGACACAGATTTGAAGTTTATATTTTCTCAAATTTTCTGTATATTATCACAACTTATATATTGCTATAGCATTTCACATGAAAATAAAATTAAAAATTTATTTAATCTGGAAATTATTGAAACTACAAATTTCGGGAGGCGTTTGATTAACACATCCTTGCGCTTTCACAATTTTTAACTTTATCCTTAATACTTAAGAAAAGTAGCAATTTTGTTGTGTATTAATGAATAATATTACATCTATAATCCAGAAAATTCAGAGAAAAATGTGCGAAAGCAAAAGCCACTCACTTAAGTATTGTCAGCTCGTGCTCAGTGTTGTGTAGTTGTGTACAGAGTTTAACAAATTGAATACACCCGTGAAACGTAAACTGTTTTTGTAAACAGGGCACGAGCTCTGTTATTGTTAATGTTTACGTTTCACTGGGTGTGTTCAATTGTTAAACTCTGCACACACCACTGAGCACGGACTGACAATACTGGTGAAAGGATTTTGCTTTCTACATTTCTACTCTGAAATTTCTGCATTATAGTTTTAATATTTTTCTTGAATAAACAACAAAATTGCTACTTTTCTAAAGTAATAAGGATAAAGTTAAAATTTGTGAAAGTGCAAGGTTGTGTCTATCAAATGAGTCCAGAAATTAGAAGTTTCAATAACTTCCAGATAAAATAAGATTTTTATCAAATTTTCGTATGAAATGCTATAGCAACATATAAGTCATGAAATTATACAGAAAATTTGAGTAAATATTAACTTCAAATCTGTGTCTAAGCACCTTTAAGTAAGGTAAATCTCATACCAAATCAAAATCCTCTAAGTTTGTTTTAAGTAGGATTTACAGTTACTTGGGAATGGACGAGCTCCAAAAACTTTAACCTGTTCACTCATCCAGAAAATGTAGGTAAGATCCAGCATCCACAGCAAGCCTGGTAATGTCCATCCCTAGATGCATCATGGATGCAAGTTTAAACATAACAGGCAATATAGTTACCTACATATCTACTCCAAAAACATTATCCTGGTCATTCATCTGGAAAATGTAGGTCAAATCAGGTCTGATAGAGTGCATCCCAATATGCATCATTCCTGCAAGTTTGGTCCAGGTAGGGCTAAAAGTTACTTGGGAATGGACTTACTCCAAAAACTGACCTGTTCACTCATCTAGAAATTGTAGGTCTGATCCATCATCCGAGGAAATTCGGGTAGTGTTCATCCCTAGATGCATCACTCTATGGCGATTTGGTACAGGTAGGGCTAATATTCACTTGCCTGGAAAATGTAGGTCAGATCCAGCATCTGAAGCAGGTCAGATAAGACTACATCCCAAGATGCATCATCCAAGAAAGTTTGGTCCTGAGGTAGGGCTTTTAGTTACTTAAGAATGGATCTGCTCCAAAAAATTTAACATGGTCACAAATCTGGAAATTAGGTTGGATCCAGCATCTGAAGCAAGTCTGGTCATGTCCATCCCCAGGTAGGGCTTATAGTTACTTGGGAATGGACATGTACCTAAGTTAAACCGAGATGCCAACGCCGATGACATTGCCAGGGATTTAGCATAACCTCATCTTAACTTCGTCGAGGTGAACAAAGAAAGTGTCATATAGAACTGTTTGTCTTGATGGAATCTATTGTACATGTCCATAAATTGACATATTCAAAATTTAGCGCAATCACTGGGTATAGGATGGTTGGCGTAATCATGAATTAGCGCTACACATGTCCGTGCATTATATTGTATTTATAAATGATTTTTTAATGGTATTCATGAATTAGCGCATTGTTGTCTGCGCCAAAGACGCTAAAATATGAAGCCCACTTTTTTAAGTACACATACAGTATGTTTGTTCTCAAATTTTATAGAAATTCGACCCCCCAAAAAATGCTGAGGATGCAGCATTTTAAAAAGCCCATGGACCACGATGCTAACATCAGCCCCTAGTGTTCTTCATCAGCAGATTTTACCTCTATATATTCCTATGTAAAATGTTGATCAAACTTTAATTGATCAAACTTGAATCTACACTACCTAGAGTTGCTTCCATATCGATAAGACTAATCATGCCTTTCTTGTTCTTTAGAAGATTTTTAAAGATGTTTTCCTATATATTCATAATTATGTAAAACTTTGATCACTTATTGAGGGCCCACTATTTCCCAGGGGGTCATGATTTGAACAAATTTATCTTGTCTTCGGCAAATTTGTGGAAAATTTGGCAAATTTTGAAATTGGCTTGGTGGTAGTTGAGAATTAAGACATCAAAAATGAAAAGAGTTTACAGATGGAGGGATGGGCAGATGGATGCTGGACAAAAAGTGATCAGAAAAGCTCACAAGCTTTCAGCTTAGGTAGGCTTAAAATTCTTACTGACACACAAATAGACAGATAGACATCAGTCACTTTACCATCACATAAACTCTTCTGGTCTTAAATTATAGAGTCAGAAATGAAAAGGAATGCAACTCTTGCTTGGAATGATAAGGTAAAGGAGCCTTGGTATCTTGATTGAAACTGGGATTTAATTGTAACGTTTTAAATTCTTGATGTCCCTAAAATCCTTCTGTGTATCTCTTACAAGTATTTTTAACAATTCAAACATGTGTAGAAAAGTTAAAGAAAATCCACAGGTTAAATTTCTGTAAGACTGTGACCCCCTTACCTTGTCTCTGCCTTTTTCTATGAGCTTCTGCTCTGCCCTGTATATCCCTTCATCCAACAGGTCCACTAGTCGTACTGTATCTCCAGATCGAGTTTTAAACTTTTTTCTACAACAATTGACTAATCGTTACTATGGAATCTTTTTAATTCATGAGGCTAATTTGAAAACTACATGATTGTAAGGACACATAATTTTGCTGGCAAACACTGGCATCATATTTATTTCAATATTCATTTCCCCATCATTCTGTAAACTTAATTAAAAAAAAAAAGAAAAGAAAGAAAACCAATGAATGTCATGAACAAATGACTTCCAAAGGGCTTGTCACCTGAAATAATTATAAGTACTTGTCAGCAAGGGAAGAAGAGGTCTATGAGCCACAACACTCACCTAAGTCACTATGGCCTTGCTGTTCATCATCAGAAAATTTTTAACTTATCTGTATATATTTCTATGTAAAAATTTAATTGTCCATTGTGGCCAAACTCTACCCCTGTGGGTCAGGATTTTGGACAAGCTTGAATCTACACTACCTGAAGATGCTTCCATATCAATATGACTAATCATGGCTTTGCTATTTATATTCCTGTGTTGGATCATCTACTGGAACCCCACCCTACCCCTTGGGGACATGAATTGAACAAATTTGGATCTACACTATCTGAGGATGTTTCCAATTCAAAATGACAATACATGGCTTTGCTGATTTTGAGAACTGGATTTTTCCTACAAATTCCTTTGTAAAACTTTAATTGCCAATTGTGGCCCCACCCTAACCATAGAGGTCTTGATTTGAACAAACTTGAATCTACACTACCTGAGAATGCTTCCATATCATGCCTTTGCTGTTCTTGAGAGAAAGATTTTTAAAGATGTTTTCCTAAATATTCCTATGTTAAACTTTGATCACTTATTGTGGGCCCCATCCTTCCCTCTGGCAACAAACTTGAATGTACACTATGTTATGAAGCTTTCACATAAATTGCATCATTTCTGTCTCAGCGGTTCTTGAAAAAAAAAAAATTTTGAACGATGCCACTAAATTTTCACAATTCTTAATTATCTCCCCTTGAAAGAAGGTCCTTCATTTCAACAAGCTTGAGTTCCCTACACCCAAGGATGCTCTGTACCAAGTTGGTTAAAATTGGTCCAGTGGTTCAATGCTGCCTCCAGCAACAGTAATGACAACTATGGCAGACAATGGAGCCCTTTGGCTCAGGTGAGCTAAGAAAGCAATAAAGGTTTATTGAAATAAAAATAACCAAAAATGTCAAAATTCCAAGATTTGTATTACATGTAATATCTGAAATTTAAGTATGAGAGTAGATTTCAGCATTATTACAACTGTAGTCTTTGTAAATTGTGTAAGTAAAATAAGAACTGAACAAGAAGAACAAATATATTTCTTCATGTATTTTTGAAGAGCTATCCACAAGCTCATCAGATGCAAAAACCTGCAAAAAGTTATTGTAAAACACTTTATTTTATTCATATAAACTTTATTTTCACATAAATATATGTACCAGATAAGACTGTATGCCTGTGAAATTTTAGTTCTTGTGTGTATTTGTATTTTTTAAGGATTATACACACATTGTATGTATACAAATTATATTACAAACAGAAGTCATTCCATGACTTAATTTCGCTACACTCCTACTAATTTTAATCAAACCAGAAATTTCAAACAATGAAAATCTGAAGCATTGTGACGTGTTATTCTCAATAAATTAATTTGATATACAGCTACATCATAAATACCTTGAGAAATTTACGGAGAGGGAATACCCTATTTGTCTACTAGTCAAAAAGGCAAATATAGTGGCGCCGCGTTTATCCGGACGCCATTTATCCGGACGCTTCACCATCCGGACGATATTTTTTGGGAACCGATTTTTTCCACGTTATTTTGTCTCATTAATCCGGAAATTCGCGTTCCGTATCCGGACGGTCAATTTCTACTACAAAACATAATAGTTCATTGAAAAATGACTCGTTTATCCGGACGGTAATTTTTCAAAAACGACTTTTCACACTTATCTTGCATTCGTGTTAATTGTTGTAAAAACATTGGCCATGCAGTCAGTTTGAAGGCGGTTACCTGTGACCTACAAACAATAGCGTCTATAATTAGCGTGTGTTTACCCCAATTCAATCACACGTTTATCTTTATTATGAAGCTCAAAGAATTTAGCTGACACTGTGCATTAATTAAATAATAATCCGTTCAAAATCATATTGCTAACCGTATATACATCGCTAAATTCAGGAGAATTTTGGAGAGTTGTAAATAAAATGAGCAATAAATACCGAGCGATTTCGTAATGCTCTTTATCATGTCGATTACGTTAGTTTAAAATACGATGTTCCATTTCTAAAAAACGTAAATGTATTTGAAACGCTTTTTTCCCACAAGACAGTATACAAAGGAACATAATAGAAGAACCTATCTAATGTGCTACCGTTTACAAACGTCCATTACATATAAAACTGGCGTTACGTACAGATGTTGATTACGTTTTTCAAGGTATTTTTTAATGATCGAAATTCAAACTTAGCGTCTGTAGAAAAAAATAATATTGAAAATCATGAAGATGGCTTGTGTTTACGAATGTTTTTAATACTTTTTTTTTTGATTAGTTTGCAGTGTTCAGTTAATTTTACAGTAACCCTGTGTAATGAATATACGGGGAATATACCGGGTTAGTTTATATTTGAACATTTTCAATGATGGTGCTGAACAGTTCTGTCATATCATATAAGTTTCAATAATTATAATATATGGCAAAATAAAACAACAGTAGATCAAAATTTGCTCAACCCATGAAGTCACATGTCAAAGAGAAGGTGAATTAAAAAAGGAGGTCTCGGCATAAAATTTGCCATCCATTTTTTTTTTATTGTGTAAATTACATTTTACTATATTTTTTCATTAATCAATTACTGCTTTTAAAACAATTAACCGAAATATAATTTAAAAGTTTTTTTTCTTTGCTGTCACATTTGAAACAAGAATGTGCATATATACATGTACATGCTTATATAGAGAGTGCTTTTTGATATGTGATTCAATTATCCGGACGATTCATTTATCCGGACGATTTCGTTGGGGACAGAGGCGTCCGGATAAACGAGGCGCCACTGTATTTACATTAAACCCCCACCTCTATATATATAGCGGTCTGCTATCATCAAAAGTTATTTACATGGGTTATATCATAAAACTTAAAAATGGTAGTGATATTGATCTTACACTCAACATCAAACTTTATTTGAAACAATATTTGTCATAACAGGGTAAAAGGCCTTTGATTTAACCAAAGTAGGACAAAACCTATGCAAAAGGTTCACTATAATGGTGTATGGAATATGTAGCTTTCCTTTTATTACCCTGTTGTGACTGCAGTTATAAAGGCTTCACATATATATGATGTTAATCTCTGGGTATTTTAAGAGATAACTAAATATTGTAATAATTTTTGAGAAAATATTACACAGTTAAACAAAAAACAATAATTATTAAGTATCTTCAACACCGCATAACTTCTCTATCTTTAATTTCTTCTTTTCAATCAAAAGAAGTCACAGTACTGAGTAATCAAATTTGATGCTGCATATTGCTTTGTTTTGTTAATCAATATTTTTAAATGGATGGCTCATTGCTAAGTGCACTGAAACCAAACTGACAAACGATTAGTTTGAGAACTTGAATGGTTTTTCCAAAATCACTTTCATTGTTTTCTGAAGAGCTGCCCTCTTTTGTTTTGGGAGATAAACAAATATTGACAGAATACATGTACATGGATGCCTTTAATTCTCTTTTCTATATCTAATTAATACTATGCAATGTTCAATATTTGTGTATTGTGTTCACAACATCAATCAGACTCCATAACTATGCCAATCCCTCTTAATAAAAATGTGACAATTGTGTTTCAATTGTCTCTCAAAAGGCTAGCTTAATTTATATGCTAATATTGAAGAGGCTGTTAAAGGATTTAGTATCCAAACCTGAAAGTATTTTATCAGTTTAACCCTTAAACTTGCATGCTACATGATATTAGATCAGCACACTACATGCTACTTTTGCCACACTATAAAAAAATCTTAAAAAAAAAAACTTTAAAAAAAGTTATTATTGCACTGAGATATGAGGAAAGATTCTCATCACATTTTTATGACAAAGCGATTTTTTTCCTGTACAGAATTCTGGCTGAATGCTGAGACATTTTCTAGCAATCTATTTCTCTCCCACCAGTTCCCATAACTGATGAGATGTCTTCAGCCCACCATATACAACACCAATGGATTCTGGAGAAAATGAGCAACATTTAATTGAATTTCTAAATCCCTCTATGAATATTTCTACAGATTTATGTCCAGGCAGATATAGATCATCAGCAAAATGACATAAAATTGATGACTCAGTTAAGAAAGAACTGAATACCAATACGAGACAATATAAATTCTTGATATAAATGTGGTACATGAAAAACCATGATATAGAGAATTTGTTTGGAACCAAATATCACAGCTACAATGCATTTAAGTTAAAAAATAATAATCACAGTGAGTGTACTTACTTATTTCTACTTTTTGTACCCTGGAGGATGCACAAGGCCATTAACAATAAGTGTAAATTAAAGAAAATTATGATCATGTGTGGGTGACAACCATTACATTGGTATACAGCAATACAGAGCAATTTGCACCTATATCTATCACAATAAACTTTTTTGAAAATATGCACATGAGATAGGAACTTGACAATTAACCTTAACAAATGATAGACTTCTTTTGATGATGTCCCTTAAGGTACACTGACCCTCTGATAAGGAGAGATAACTTTAACTGGGAAAGAGGACTTTTATTCCTTTATAAAATTGTAAAGTTAAAGGCCATTTCTGTCAAATTATGCCTGCAATTAAAGAATGGTGAATTTGTGTGGATTTGAATTATACAGACCCTTAAATGACCACTTGCACAATATGGTTTGTTTCTTGCACAGTGCATTTTCTTTTGTAAAAGGTACGGTTCATTTTGTGAATGGTGCACTTCTTGCACAGAACAGTTCATTTTTGAGGAGTAGTAACATATTTTAAGCTC